CTTCAGATAACAACCATGCTTGTATATGTTTGTTTTTGTTAGCTGACTGTGGTCACTCATAGCTTACTGGTTTTTAAAAACAAAAAAATGTGATAGTCATGGTGACTTAAAACACAGTCTCATTTTCTTGGGATACATATGCCCTAAGAAACAAGTGTGCCACCTATTGATTTACCAACTACCACTTAAGCATACCCTTCCTCCTTTTGTTATGCTTACATGCTCCAGCAACAACATTTGAGGACCTTAATGAACTTCAGCTCAAAACACTGTGTCTGATGAGGACTTCAGAAGTTTCATAGGCAAAAATTCAAGTATATAAATACTAAGGTATTTGGTCATTCCACTTAAACAATCAGATTGGTTTCATTTCATGCAGTTTATTCGGGATTATAGAGGAAGTCTTTGGTCTCAACTGCTGGCTTAAAACTTTCACTGCTGAACCACCTGTCTTCTTCTGAGCGTTTCTGAAGAAATTATGAAGAAATATGCACACCTGCACTGATGTTTTATACCACTACCAGCAGTCAGAGATCTAGGCTGTAGATCTAGGTATAAGGTGTGGCTGCAAGTCGTCAGTTTCTAAATGATAGTGCTATATGATTTGCCATTTGCAAAGTATGATTAATACATTTGCTAAAAATGATCATATATTAGTTTAGTTTTAATGTTGTCTAGAAGAAAAACTGACTACAGAATACAACTACACTGGGAGGGCATACTCCCACACTGTACACTTGGTGCAGGCAGGGTGCCTGTGAAAAATAAAGACTTACAAATCTCACTTGCAAGCCAAAAGAATGAAAGGCTTGTTCTTTGTTGGTTCCCATTTTGCTGGGTTCTTTGGTTTGGCTTTTTTTTTTTTCCTAGAGAAAGAGGTCCATTTACATTGATATTGAGGACTTTAATGTGTGAAGTAATGTAGCAAACTGAAATGCCAAGATGCTATGTTGTAAATTAATCACTCCCTAAGCCAGATGCTTCTTGTCAGAAAAGGAAAGTTCCTTTCAAGTGTCTTTTGAGACTGATATAAAACAAGTTATATGACAAGACTGTTTGTACTGTACGTCATCAGGTATTTCATAAAGCATAAATTATGACTGGTTTTATTTTTTTTTTAATGGAAAAAAGAATTATTTCAGACAAGCAATCCAGCAAATAGTAATTCCACTTCTGATGTTTCAGGAAATGAGATATGACTCCCCCAGTGGTACTTTCAGAATCACTAGAAAGATAATTTCAAACACCTCAACATGCAAATTTCCAATACTTAAATTCAACAAGTACTTTGATTTAGCAGTAGCATATGCATTTAAATCCCTTTTGGAATTAAATATTTAAAATGTTGTTTTGCAATATTCTCACAAATATGTTTTTAAGCCATGCTTGATTTTTTTTTTTGCAAAAGCCTTAATTTAATTAAATTGATGGGATATTTGGCCTTGCTCCTTCATAGGAAAATAGATAAATTCTGTAGTGGCTTTATCAAAAGCTAAGTAATGAAATTTCATTAAAATCTGTAGTTAATAAAGTTCTTATTCACTTTATTAGGTATTTAGTCTCTAGAAAACTCTTTAATTTCATAATCTTCTATCTTTAATACAATTTGTATTATGCTGTATTTTTACTGTTAGAAAAAATTATATTTCAATAAAATATTTCTGTCATTTGTGACTATTTGTCAGTTGTGAATTCTCATGACATTTTGTAACTGTGCTCCTCATTGCCTCTTCCTTTGCTTCCTTATTAGTATGTTGCTGCTTAATGACACCCTCAGAGTATTTTCACAAAATTAAATATTTTTTTTCTTGATATATTTGCATGATTGTGCCAAAACATAACAAAAATACTGCAATTATATGGCTGTCACACAGTGCTTGATTGCCTCTACTCATGGCAAACACAGATAAATGAAGACAGAAAGGATAATCTCTGCAGAATGCGTTTCCACAGAAGGATAAGACCACATTTATTTAGACTATGGATGAAGTAGGTGCCCACAGTGTGCTCATGTTCCTTAACTCTCAGGCACATGACTGAACAGAAGATAATACTGGACTAAAGAACAAAGGGATGTGCACAAATCTCACCTGTTGTGGAGTCAAAATGCCACAAAAGCACACACCTGGAGTTTCTTCTGGGTCCCAAAGGTTAGAGATGAAAGCTTGGCACGAGTAACAGTGCTGGGAAGGGAAGAGTATGCTCATCTTTCTCCTGGTCATCTGCTGTTGTCCTTCTTCCCTTCTGTCTGCCTGCCTGCTTCACGATACAGGTGCATACTCTTCACAGAATTTGTGAGAAGGTACTGGCTGTGAATTTGAGACTACCCTCTCATTTCCCATCTGCGCAAGACACTTTAGTCTTCAAGGATAACTGACCCCATTGCTCCAGGAGTGTATTGAAACATGGTGATCATGCACCTAGTTACCATGTCCCTCTTGTTTCATATAGATTCTGCATTGTCATAGGTCTTCCATGTGACAATTCATATGAAATAAATCATAGAATCATAGAATCATGGAATAGCTACCTTGGGAGGACCACCCCCCCAGCTTTATTGCTGAGACTGATGTTATATGGCATAAAATAGCCCTTTGATCAGCTGGGCTCAGACACTTGCCCACCCCCAGGCTACTCCCTGGCAGGGCAGGGTGAGAAACAGAAAAGTCTTGACACTGCACAACCCATTTAACAACAGCTAAAACATTGATGCGTTATCAACACTGTTTTGATAACATCAAGCAACATCTACAACACAGCAACGCATAAGCTGCTACAAAGAAAACTTACTCCATCCATATCAGACCCAGCACCGCCTTCACTATTTAAATTTATCTCTTACATTTCTATCACCTGCCCACCACTGCAGTTTAGAGAAATAAAGATCTGTGAAGTTGTTTGTGAAGCAGGTGACTTGCCTCTACCAACCTACTGCAAAATTTTTCCCTTTCTTCCCTGCCAATGTTAGTAGTCACCTCTACTAACCATTGTAATCATGACAGATCTATCAGCCAGACTTCATGGAATGTCAGTCAGTTATAAACTGACCTTCAAAGTTTGGTGTTATTTCTCCTGCCTGCTGATACACTGGTCAGTATAAATGGTTCTTGACTTGTCACCGCAGTTGCTTTCCAGTGACAGGGGGCGTTGAACTAGAAGATCTTTAAGGTCCCTTCCAAGGTGATTATAAATCTATAAATTTTCTGTGGAGGGGTGATGTTAAAAGTGAAATGAGACACCTTCTTGGGGTTTGCTTGTGCCTAAAAATGACCCACCAAGTCTTCTGTTACGACAGTACACATTTGTCATACTGTAAGGCCAGTATCTGTTTGTGCTATGATCTCAGCAGATTGATATGGCTTATAAAAATAGAACTAAATTTATACTTGCTGTGCAACATTATAAGAAATCTGGGGAGAAAGCAATGAGATTTGTGACTAAAAGGAATCACAGGAGAGAGCTGAGAGCAGCTGTAATTTCTTTACCTATTATTACCTGACTTTGAGGCCACAAAATTATTATATTTGTCTGTTTCCTGTTACATCTGCAGCTGCTGATAGCAATTAAGCTGCATTTCAAGATAGAAAATGTTATTTAATTTCAGAATTTGGCTTAGTATTTCTTCCAAAATAGCCCTGGCTGGCAAAAGAGAATACTACAATGAATTATTACTCTGAAAATAGCACAATTATTTGTACAGCATGGCTTTCTCCATCAACCCAGAGCTGATAATAGAAAGGAGACAAGTCTTTTGGCCTTCTGACAAAGCTCTGTGCTGGTGTCTTACAGCAGGGCCACAGCCAGTGATGCTCTGACAGATTTGCCTGCACCTTGCTCTAAGTCATATAACTGTTTTATCTGTTTCTTCCAAAAGCAGATGGCTTTTTCAACATTTTTTTCTTTTTTTTTTTTCTTTTTGCCAATGAATGCACCAAAGATAGATAGTGAAACAGGAATGAGGGAAAAAAAAAAAACAAACAAACAAAAGAGGAAGGTGTGAACATGGAAACTTTTAGACAGACATCCAGACTGTTCAAGGCCGGGTTGGACAGAGCTTTGAGCAACCTGTTTTAGTAGAAGGGGGGCTTGAACTAGAGTATCTTTAAGGCCCTTTCCAACCCAAACCATTCTATGATTCTATGTTTATTAGTTCTGGTCTACAAACTGAACATGATCTGGCAGTGTGTGCTCACAGCCCAGAATCATAGAATCATAGAATAGTTAGGGTTGGAAGGGACCTTCAGATCATCTAGTTCCACCCCCTCTGCCAAGGACAGGGACACCTTACACTAAACCATGCCACCCAAGGCTCTGTCCAACCTAACCTTGAACACCGCCAGGGATGGAGCATTCACAACCTCCCTGGGCATCCCATTCCAGTGCCTCACCACCCTTACAGTAAAGAACTTCCTCCTTATATCCAATCTAAACTTCCCCTGTTTAAGCTTTAACCCATTACCCCTTGTGATGTCACTATAGTCCCTAATGAAGAGTCCATCCCCAGCATCCCTGTAGGCCCCCTTCAGATACTGGAAGGCTGCTATGAGGTCTCCACACAGCCTTCTCTTCTCCAGGCTGAACAGACCCAGCTTTCTCAGCCTGTCTTCATGTGGAAAGTGCTCCACTTGCGAAGAAATGGATTAATGCAGGTGTCATCGTGAAATCACTCCAGAAGGACTGTGGAAATTCATGCCGAACGAACTAGCTTGAAGCCGCTGCCCTGGGACAAACGGGGAAGGGGAAGAAAGAGAAAGAGCGCCAGCGGCGGGATCAACCTCCCGCACGGCTCCCCTCAGGCGGGCCCGGCGCCCCCCGCGCATGCGCCACAGGCGTCTCCTAGCAACCGCCGAAACAACGGCGCTAGACGCTGCTGCGTGATCGCCCCCGGGTGGCACGTCGTGCCCGGCCCGACCGCGGCGGGTGAGTGGGGGCCGCTCCCGGCCCTGCTGCCCGGGTCCGGACAGTGCCGGAGCGGGCGAGAGGAAAAAGGCCTTGGGTCTGGGGGAATCTCTGCGGCAAGCCTGTGGCGGAGAGCAGCAGCGGTGTCCGAAGGGGCCAGGTGCCGCGAGGGACTGGTGGCTGCCAGCTCCAAGTAAGCAGAAATAATCTGGTGTCGCCGGTTAGAGCCCCAACGTACGAACGCGTTGGCGGGGTGCCGGCGGTGCCGGTGCAGCGTTAGGCAGGGGGTCAGCTCTTCGTGCCTCGCCTCCGGCGGGTTTGGCTTCTTAGCGCTCAGAGAACTGGGGTCCCCGTGCCTGTAGACGTTCAAAATTAATGACCCAAAGTTAAAGCAGAATCATTACCTTTTATAATCGATATTTTAAAAGTGTACATTGAAGTTTCCTCCAGCCACAACCAGAAAAAAAACTAAAAACTTACTGTCCTTTTGGCAGCGGTATCTACACCTTTTGAACAGCAGTGACAATTCCAAGATTTATTAAAAAAAACCTATAAGATTTAAGAACACCTGAAGTTTATCAGAATGGAGAAAAATGGCATTTTTAAACCAGGCAGAACAAATCCTGCACTTAAGCATCCTGACAATATTCCCTATGAGAAACTGGGAGCCTAGGGATTGGTGTCAGCAAACGTAGGGAAAGGCATGGGATGGGCTAGTTCAGCAGAGGATGACTGTGATCAGTGTTTGTAGATGTGAGCTAGGAAGAAAGAAAATTCAGTGGAAGTGCCTTAAGGAAGCTTATATAGTAGAGAAAAAGAATTGTATTAAAAAAATTAGGGAATATGAATAAAGAAAGAACTGCACTACAGCTAAGGTATGTAGAATTTCTGTGTGACTGTAACATGAAAAGTACGAAACCTAACATTGTATGGATAATAGATAAAAAGAAGAAAAAAAAAAAAACTTTTTTAAAACAGAAGTTTGATCCTAAAGAACTCTATCAGGGAATTAGGCTGTTAGGGAGGAATCTCACCTGATTTATTGATATTTCAAAGGTTTTGGGGCATCTGCAGACAGGAATTTCAAAACAAAGTATGGATTTGCTGGCAGAGGAGCATAATCTGTAGAACAGAACCTTTTATAATCTTCTTGGTAATCTCAAATTATCATCTATATATAAAATAATCCAATATTGTATTACCTTAACCTATACATAATTCGTAGTATAAATATTTGGTATAAATAATAGATTTTGATAACATGCCAGCAAAGAAAGTAATTGACAAATGTTTGACTATGACGCAAATATAGTCATGAATAATGGCAGTAAAACTGGTCGTGAATAAATGTAGAATAAAAATTGAAAAAGGTCCCTGGCTGCTGAACAAATGGCCAGTGGAACAGCTTTTTAAAGAGAGAACTGGGAGCAAAATACCTAGTGTTTTTTAAGACACATAAGAATAGGTATCTGGTGGGATTAACATGGTGCAGTGGCTGTGACAGGGGAGGGGAATGAATCTGATCATTCACAATCCCTTTCACTTGGTGTCCCTGTAAAACTGACAGAAGGAGCATCCATTTTAAGACATAGATTGGCACAGCTGGCTAAAAATTCAGGAGTGTCTTTATTTTTTACTAATCTTTAAAGCACCTTTTTTCCTAAGGCAGACCGTCTTTGACTTCTGTATGAAAAGTGTTCCCTACTATTGCTCAGGCAGTGGTTGTGTAACTGCTCTCTCTCATTTGTTTTAGATTAAGTAAATTTTTCTTTAGTCTCTTTCTCATGGGATGAGGGATTCCATTATGCTTCTTAGTGAGTCATTTAAAATCACACACATGATTTCCAAAAACCTCCTTCTTTCAGGCTGTCTCATCTTAGATTCTCCAACGGTATAACCTAGGTCTGATCCTATTTATTATGTTCACTATAATTTGGAAATGAACAATAACATAGAGAAATCAAAATTTTCTGGTGAGATAAAATAACTTACATTATGACTAACAAAGACTGCTAGAAACTTCTGAGGGTTCTTCTGCAGTTAGGTGAACTGGTCACACTATGACAGATAAAACTCATTGTTGATGAAAGCAGTATAATTTACACTTTGGAACAATATACTCTTCAGTAGTGAACCTAAATTAATTGTGATCAACTGGGAAAATGACCTATATATAGCTTAGTGAAAATCTTCACTGAGGAAATTGAGTAAAAATTAATACTCAGAAAGTTATAACATTACTGGAATAAATCAGTAGTGTTCTAGAATTGATTATGGTACTCCAGGTTAGGTTCATCATATCTGAGAAAGATTTAATGGTCACAGAGGGACTCTGAGACAAGAAATATATATGTCTGGAAAAGCTATATGGAAAAAATAATTAAGGCAGCTTAGAAAAGTGGTAAATCAGAATGTACTGGGAGTTATAAAAGAAAGTAGAAAAGATCAAGTCGGCATCTTTTAACTGAAGTTGTAACACAAGAATGAGGAAATGTGTTGAATTAAATAACACATTTAAACTGTTTACACATTTTTTAAATCTAAGGAGTAGTTCCTTATACAGTACACTTGACAACTGGACCTGTGCTGTAGCATGTCAGACTAAGAATGAAGAGTAAAAGGATTAAGCATTTATGTGGACAGTAAAAATAGCTACTATTGTTAGGAAGAACATGAAAAAATTCAGGAGATCTAAACCTTTGTACTTTAGGGAAATAAAAACCCTGTAACAGATGGCGGAAATCTGACTTGGGATTGGCTTCATGTACTTATTAGAAGCATTTGGCTCTTACCATTCTGGAGGCAGAATAGTGATCTGCCATGAAGACTGTTCTTATTCACTGAAGGAGGTTTCTTACGCTGAGATATCTTAGTCATTCTATGATTTGAAAAGACTGCTACCATGTTCTTTAATTCCTGTTACTTCTTTTTATTAACATTCGTACATCATCTTTTACACTGCACTAATTGGAAAATGCATTCTGCCTCTGCATCTTAAGGTCTCAAAATGACTGAAATGCTCCTGACATTGTATACTTCTTACTAGGTGTACCAAGCTCTTCAGCTTCAGAAAACAATGAAGTATCATCCTTGGGCAGTATGAAAAAGGTGCTACTATCAATCAGAGCCTGCACACAAGTCAAAATTTTATTGCACATCTTGCATATTTTCACGGCATCAGACTGTGGGATCAAATACCTGAAAATCTTGGCTTTTCTTAAATCTAAACCTCTACCCTTGGGCTTTTGAAAGTAACACTCAGCTGAATGTTAATGTGATATCAGAATGTGAATAAAAACTAGCAATGTATTCAGTGTATCTTAAAACTTCTGAGATTTTAAATAAATTATTATATTATTTTTTTGGCTCACCTAAAATCCCCACCTTTTCTCTCTTATAGCTATTTCCTCAACCTGGCATTTAACTAAAAACTCATCTTGGTTTTAACGGTTTGTCTGCAGAGTACTCCACTCTGCATGTCTCTTTTTCTTCCTTTTTTTTAAATAGAATTATTTTGTTTTGTGTGTATATAATTAATAAATGCATAATTTTTTTAAAAACAACTATTTAAATGAACTCTCAGAATGATAAAAATATATTTAGTCTTTTTGGTTTTTGTCTTGTATCTAGAAGCAGATTCTTGTTTAGTTAGCTAACATCTGTATGGTAGCTAATTCTTGACTTAACTTGATAATTTTTTACATAATATACATATGGGCACAGAAAAAAGAGTGAGCAGATTCAAAGGTCTTGACTTAATTGGTGTCTCATATAATGTATTAATTTCATACAGCACATAGCTTCAGAAACTGGATATTAAATTGGACCTGGTATCTCTTTTTAACTCTCTTCTTGCATGAACCCAGGTTTTTATAGTGTATTAATGCTTGCATTGACGTTACAGCACTGGGCAAATCCATATATAACGAGTAGGACAGAAGAAAGCCAGAGGAAGAATTTAGGAGAAAGAAAGAAGGAAGTTTCAAGATTATTCCACATTATTTTCTTAATCATTACAAGGTTACCAGAGAATGATGAGGAAGATGTTTGAGCTGGCATACAAAGTACAGACTAGTTTACAGACTCAAGAAAGCTAGAGTGAGATTGTCATCTAATGCTTTTATTAGAATTTTAGTATCTTCCTTCTGATTGCATTGGAAGGCAGCAGAACTAGTGTCCCTACAGAGATCAATTGAAATAATCAATTAATATGATGAATTTATAAGAAATTTTCACTATTATAACAGAAAAAAAATATTTTAATTTGTGAGATAAGAAGAAATAGCAAAACTTCACTGAAACTAGCTGAACTAAATTGGGATTACATGATCATCATTTGCAAGGCAAAAAGAATCTCACTTGTGCATCCCTTTTGTGAGGAAACTGAAAATCATGACTAGGGTGTAGTAACACAGCTTCAGGCTGACTTAAAGCATGGGACAGTCAATTTGCCAAGCGGATCATGTCGTGAATAACTGGTTGGAAGCTATTCTTACATACTTATCTTTGCATTGCTTTTCCATAGGAGTAATTTCTCTCAGAAGAGACCTTTAATTCCTTGACTAAGAGGTAAGTTCCACAGCTGGCCTGTGTCTTTGACTTATACCTGCTCTTTGTCTCATGTCTTGCTAATATTCAGTACATGCAGGATCTTAGGTTGTTGTGTCAGTTATTCAAGGTTTTGGAAAACATAAGATGCAGATGGAACAAGTAGTGTTTTCTAAATGCATTGTCTGACTTAAAGCCATGAAATATTATGGTCTTTAAATGTATGCAACAGGACTCTGAAACTATAGGTATATATTCCGTACTGTAAAGGAAGTGTTTATGAGATTTGAATGGAAAAACTGCAATAAGACTTTCCTCAAACTTCAAAGTTGTCGTGGTTTAAACCCTAGCCAGACAGCTTGTTCACTCACTCCCAGTGAGTGGTGCCGGGCTGAGAGCAATCGAGGCCCACCTGCACCCCCCACCCCACCCCCCCCACCCCACCCCCCGGGCTCTCCCACAGGTTGAGATAAGAACAGTTTAGTAACTAAGATATAACACAAATCACTGCTGCTACCACCAATAATAATAATGATAAAGGAAATAACAAGAGAACACAACACCTCACCACCAGCCGACCGATAACTCACCCCCCAAGCCCGACCAAGCACCGACTGATACTTCCTTCAACCCTGCAGTCCCAGCCCTTCCGAGTAACTCCCAGTTACATCCTGGGCATGACGTGCTGTGGTATGGAATACCTCTTTGGTCAGTTTGGGTCAGGTGTCCTGTCTCTGCTTCCTCCCGGCTTCCCCTCCTCCCTGGCAGAGCATGAGGCTCACAAAGTCCTTAGCCAGAACAAAACATCATTGTTATTAGCTCTGTTCCCAGGCCGAAAGTCAAAACACAGCACTGCACCAGCTACCAAGAAAGAGAAAAATGGCTGCTACTGCTGAACCCAGGACAAAAGTATAATTTATAGATTTTTTTTTTTTTTTTGGGGGGGGGGGTAACATTCACTTGCTAGCCATCATCTTGCATTTAAAAAAAAAATAAAAATGTATAGTGACTAGAAATAAATGGGTATCTCAGATTTGCAATCCCAGAAATTATTCACACTGAGAGAGGTTCCTAGTGCAAGAAAATAAAATGGAGTAATAACAGGGAATGTGTCCATCATTATCTTGTGATCTAGTATTTGGAATCTGCTCCTCTGGGCAGGCATCTGCACCAGCTCTTTCAAAAACGAAATAAATTTTGCATGCTTTATTTGACATGGCAGAGATGACAGTTCATGATATAATAGCCAAGAGGTTAGAGGGTTCCAATTTTGAACTAAAAAGTCCACATTTGTGACCTTTCTTAAAATCATTTTCCCTTTATGAGCAAAACATTCTAGTCACAGAGATGTTACGGGAGATAGGCCTATTCCCTCAGCCACTTCTAAAAAGACAAGATGGCTGTGTTTTGTCATATGCTGAGTTCTGCTAACATTCAGTCTACTGTGATAGTATCTGCCAGACCTAGCCTGTCATGTGGATTCATGTGGAGAATCAGGGTAATAAGTACATCTGGCTAACTTTAGATGTTAATGTGTCAATACACAAGGTAACAATTCTAGACTCTGCTTTTGATCTGAGGAAAAAGCTATTTTTAATGTGCAGTTCAGTTTTAGCTACCTACTTTAGGATGAATGCCTTAGGGGCTATTGAATATGTTGACTTGATCTCCATCAGTTATCAAGGAGGGTGATTAACTTAATTACTGATGCCTAATTTAGTTTAGGAGACACTACTCACAGTTTCTGGATACTTGTTCAACTTCAGATACTGATACTGGGGTAGTTCTGGTCCTCTGGGAAAGCTGGAGGTCCTAGTGAAGTTCAGAGTAAAATAGGGAAGTGCCTGCTGAGCTTAGGCACCAGAAACAGCCAGAGCTGAGTGAGAGTGATGGGGATTGTAATTTTGGAATGAGGATTTAGTTAGATGTAATGACTGTCCTGGCTGAGAGGCAACACCTGATTAGACCACTGCACTGAAACTGGGTGGAAGCAAAGCAAAGCAGGCTAATTTGTCTACCACTGAAAGCAATAAATTCCAGGTGAAGGACAGGAAGTAGCATAGAATGATAACTTCATAGATTGCTTAACTACACATTGGCTACATCTGCTAAGTCCTTCATTACACTATCTCTGCATGATTTAAAACAATCAGCCCTTTAATCTCAAAAAACATATGTGGAAAAGATATGCTTCTATGATTCTAGAAACCTACAGAACATGAAGTAAAGAGTATTACTCAAATGAGAATTTATTTTGTCTTTAAGATTTAGAATCATAGAATCATTTAGGTTGGAAAAGACCTTTAAGGTCAATGTGTCCAACTGTTAACCTAACACTACCAAGTCCCACTACACCATGTCCCTAAGCATCACATTTACATGTCTTCTAAGTACCTCTAGGGATGGTGATTCCACCACTGCCCTGGGCAGCCTGTCCCAGTGCTTGACAACCCTTTCAGTGAAGAAATTTTTCTTAATATCCAATCCAAACCTGCCCTGGTGCAACAGGATGCCATTTCCTCTTGTTCTGTCGCTTGTTGCTTTGAAGTGACTGACACCTGCGTCACTACACTCTCATTTTGTGTAGTTCTAGAGAGTGATAAGATCTCCTCTGAGCCTTCTTTTCTCCAGGCTGCACAACCCCAATTTCCTCACCAGACTTGTGCTCCACACCCTTCACCAGCTTCGTTGCCCTTTGGACCTGCTCCAGCACTTCAATGTCTTTCTTGTAGTGAGGGGCCCAGAACTGAACACAGAATTTGAGATGCAGCCTCAGCAGTCTGAGTACAGGGGGATGATCACTCTCCTGGCCCTGCTGGTTACACTATACACAAGCCAGGACGCCATTTGCCTTCTTGGCCACCTAGGCACAAGCTGGCTCATGTTCAGCCATCAAACAGCACCCCCAAGTCCTTTTCCATGGAGCAGCTTTCTAGCCGCTTTTCTCCATGCCTGTAGTGTTTCATGGGGGTGTTGTGACTGAAGAGCAGGACGTAGCACGGAGCCTTGTTGAAGCTCCTATAGTTGGCCTTGGCCCTGACTCATGGATCCAGCCTGTCCAGATTCCTCTGCAGACCCTTCCTGCCCTCAAGTAGATCAACACTCTCACTCAGATTAGTGTAGTTTGCAAATTTATTGAGCATGCCCTCAATCCCCTCTTTCAGATCATTGGTAAAAGATATTAAACAGAACTGGCCCCAGTACTGAGCCCTGGGGAACACCCCTTGTGACTGGCCACCAGCTGGATTTAACTCCAGTCATCACCATTCTTTGGGATCAGACATCCTGCCAATTTTTTACCCAGTGATGCCACACTGTAATTAGCCAGTTTCTCTGGGAATTAATTCATTAACTACGCTTAATTACAAGTGAATAGAATTTTAATTTTCAAAATAAGTTTACTGTTAACTTAGACTCAGCACTTATTCACATTTTAAAATCTAAATTCTGCTACAATTTTTTTCTGACTTCTAAATATTCTGAATAGTAAACTGATAGTCAAAGATATGTGTACTGTAAACCTACTGAAAAAAAGACAACACGCAGTTATGGTGAGAAAGGGATTTGGGTAAGGAGTTCTTTTATGGTCAGTAATCTTTCAATACCTGTACATATCGATTGTCTGCAATAATTAAAATTCAATGCAGAAGACACATTTTTGTCAGCAAGCCAAAGAATTACACGTTCCTCATTGCCTCAAGTCACAGAATGGCAGGCAGGGGGGATACTGTTGTAGGTGTCTGTTACAGACCACCAGATCAGGGTGAGGAAGTTGACGAGGCCTTCTACAGGCAGCTGAGAGCGGCCTCACAGTCACAGGCCGTGGTCGTCGTGGGGGATTTTAACTTCCCTGATGTTTGCTGGAAGGACCACTCCGCAACCCAGCCACAGTCCAGGAGGTTCCTCCAGTGTGTGGATGATAACTTCCTCCTGCAAATGGTGGATGAGCCAACCAGGAGAGGAGCTCTGCTGGATCTCATCCTCACTAACAAGGAGGGTCTGGTTGAAGCAGTAAGGGTTGAGGGCTGCCTTGGTTGCAGCGACCACGAGATGGTGAAGTTCAGGATCTTGTGTGGTAGGACTAGTAGAATACCAAGTAGAATTGCAACCCTGGACTTTAGCAGGGCAGACTTTGGCCTTTTCAAGCAATTGCTAGGGGAAATCCCATGGGCAAGGCTGCTTGAAGGTAAAGGGGCCCAAGATAGTTGGTTGATATTCAAGGACTGCTTTTTCCGTGCTCAAGATCGGAGCATCCCGACACGTAGGAAGTCAAGGAAAAGGGCCAAGAGACCTGCGTGGCTAAATAGGGAATTGCTGGGTATGCTCAAGTGGAAGAGGAGAGTTTACAGGTCATGGAAGGAGGGGCTGGCCACTTGGGAGGAATATAAGGCTGCTGCTAGGGGATGTAGGAAGGCATCTAGGAGGACTAAGGCATCCTTAGAATTAAACCTGGCAAGAAGGGTCAACGACAGCAAAAAGAGCTTTTTCAAATACATGGCAGACAAAACTAACACCAGAGGCAATGTAGGCCCACTGATGAACGGGATGGGTGCCCTGGTGACAGAAGATGCAGAGATGGCAGAGTTACTGAATGCCTTCTTTGTCTCTGTCTACTCTGCTGCAGGCAGTCCTGAAGAGCCCTGTACCCCTGAGACCTTAGATGAAGTCAGGTCCACGGGGCGGTTTGCCTTAGTCGATGAGGAATGGGTTAGAGATCAGTTGAGCAATCTGGACATCCATAAATCCATGGGTCCAGATGGGATGCACCCGCGGGTGCTGAGGGAACTGGCGGAAGTCATTGCTAGACCACTCGCCATCATCTTTACCAAGTCTTGGGAAACGGGAGAGGTGCCTGAGGACTGGAGGAAGGCAAATGTCACTCCAGTCTTCAAAAAGGGCAAGAAGGAGGACCTGGGTAACTATAGACCGGTCAGCCTCACCTCCATCCCTGGGAAAGTGATGGAACAGCTTGTCCTTGGTGCCATCTTAAGGCATATCAAGGATAAGAGGGTTATGAGGGGCAGTCAACATGGCTTCACCAGGGGGAAATCATGTTTGACCAATCTCTTAGCCTTTTATGAGGAAATAACATGGTGGATGGATGATGGCAGAGCGGTGGATGTGGTCTACCTTGACTTCAGCAAAGCATTTGACACAGTCTCCCACAGCATCCTCACGGCTAAATTGAGGAAGTGTGGACTGGATGATCAGGTAGTGAGGTGGACTGCGAACTGGCTGAAGGAGAGAAGCCAGAGAGTTGTAGTCTATGGGGCAGAGTCTAGTTGGAGGCCTGTAACTAGTGGAGTGCCTCAAGGGTCAGTACTGGGACCGGTATTATTTAATATATTCATCAACGATTTAGATGAGGGAATTGAGTGTACCATCAGCAAGTTTGCTGATGACACTAAGCTGGGAGGAGTGGCTGGCACGCCAGAAGGCTGTGCTGCCATCCAGCGAGACCTGGACAGGCTGGAGAGTTGGGCAGGGAATAACTTGATGAAATATAACAAGGGAAAGTGTAGAGTCCAGCATCCGGGCAGGAACAACCCCAGGTTCCAGTATAGGTTGGGGAACGACCTGTTAGAGAGCAGTGTAGGGGAGAGGGACCTGGGGGTCCTAGTGGACGACAGGATGACCATGAGCCAACACTGTGCCCTTGTGGCTAAGAAGGCCAATGGCATCCTGGGGTGTATTAGAAGGGTGGTGGTTAGTAGGTCGAGAGAGGTCCTCCTTCCCCTCTACTCTGCCCTGGTGAGACCCCATCTGGAATATTGTGTCCAGTTCTGGGCCCCTCAGTTCAAGAAGGACAGGGAGCTGCTGGAGAGAGTCCAGCGCAGGGCAACTAAGATGATTAAGGGAGTGGAGCATCTCCCTTATGAGGAAAGACTAAGGGAGCTGGGTCTCTATAGTTTGGAGAAGAGGAGACTGAGGGGTGACCTTATTAGTGTCTATAAATATATAAAGGGGGAGTGTCACGAGGATGGAGCCAGGCTCTACTCAGTGGCAAACAATGATAGGACAAGGGGTAATGGGTGCAAACTGGAACACAAGAGGTTCCACTTAATCTTGAGAAGGAACTTCTTCTCAGTGAGGGTGACGGAACACTAGAACAGGCTGCCCAGGGAGGTTGTGGAGTCTCCTTCCCTGGAGACATTCAAAACCCGCCTGGACACATTCCTGTGTAACATTATCTAGGTGTTCCTGCTCCGGCAGGGGGATTGGACTAGATGATCTTTTGAGGTCCCTTCCAATCTCTAGCATACTGTGATACTGTGATACTGTAATGACCACTGAATACAGACAGCTTTATGGGAACAAAACTAACAACAACAGTTGATGGCAGAATACACTGAAATCCAGAAGAGTAACTGCAGCAAAGAAACAGACTGAGGGGCATAATCCACAATAAAGTAATTGTCATGTTCTCTGTACCTGTTGCTTTTTTAATATTACTAAGGAACCAAGTATTCCTGAACATATAGAAAAATGTATAATTTTCTTGAAAGCATTCTCAGAAGTTGGATGTATTTATATAGAATGAGTAAATATTTACAATTTAAGGCTTCAGTTATTTACAGTCTTGTAATATGTACAATTATTTAATCTGTGAACATTAATGGTACAATATTATAAATGCTTTTACATGAATTAACTTATTTTAATTGTTTGATTTAAACCGAATTAAACTCATTGAGATTTAAAATTGCTTTTTAGAACTTTAGCTTGATTTATGTCTGAAATTATTTGAGCTGATCTGAATAATTTTCATTGTGCCCATATCTGTATTCCAAGATTTAACACAGTTTAAATAACCCAGATTTCCTGAATGTCTTTATAAATCTGATTCTTAAATGTGTGTATGGTGCTTACTTTCTGTAGTGACTGCATAAACCAGAAGGTAGTATGTGCATCATTTTTTTTTTCTCAGTAATTTGTCCATACGCTTTTTCTTACATGTTAATTTGCCTCTATCCAAACCTTCACTTTCTGAAACACTGAATTCTAGTGTCTGTATATGTGTTCATCTGTATGTGCATATGTATATAGCATAGAATCATAGAATGGTTTGGACTGGAAGGGACCTTAAAGATCATTCAGTTCCATAGGCAGGGACACCTTGCACTACAGCAGGCTGTCCAAAGCCCCATCCAGCCTGGCCTTGAACACTGCCAGGGATGAGGCAGCCACAGCTTCTCTGGGAAACCTGTTTCTCATAGTGAAGAATTTTTTCCTAATATCTAAACTAAATCTCTCCTTTGTCAGCATTCCCCCTTGTGCTATACCTACATGACCTTGTAAAAAGTCCCTCTCCAGATTTCTTGTAGGCCCCCCTTAGGTATTGGAAGACAGTTATAAGGTCTTCGCTGAGCCACCTTCTCTTCTCAAGGCTGAACATAAGCACTAGGGTAAAGCAGATTGGAGCTGAAGAATCTTTGTATGGGTCTTCCTCAAAAACTGTAATTAGTGACCTGATTATGAAGTTTTAAGTTTCAGATCCATTTTTAGGATGTGCTTATTCAACTGGTTTCAGTACTGCCATGTTATAGTTTCTTTGAGAAGTTGGTAGAGGAATAATACCTGAAAAATTTCAGAGGATTCAAGAAGAGCTCCAGAATTTTGTTGAACACAACAAACAATGGCCTTGACTTTACCAGCCAGGCTACAGCTCATGTTGCACTAGAAAATAATCTCTTACATCATAGGGAGACTGTCAGAGTAGTCCTGGCTGAGGTTGGATATGTTTCCCTTTGAGAACTAACCAAGGAGTTAGCAAGGCATACTAACAGTGTGTATTTTGTTTTTACACAGTATAAAACAAACCGAAGTTTGGCATAATTTGGGTTATGTTGTATGCACAGCTATTGCTAATGGGTCAGGTTGCTCTTTTCTTTTGCCTGCAGCTTAGCTAGAAGGCTCTGTTGAAGTTTTGCAAGCCACATGAAATTAGATACACGAGATATTACATCCATATGCTTCCATATGCACTATTAGGTGCAGCTGAAAGGTCTTCCTGGTTCACATGAATATGTGCTAATATAAAAAAGGCAGAAGACAGAAGGTGGACTTTGTGTAAATTGGTGTAACTTTTTTAAATCAGTGAAATTTGTACTGTGCAGAACTGTTTCTTAGTACCTGCAGACCTGATTTTTTGTCTCCTGTGAAATATGAACAGAGAATTCAAATCAAACTTGAACCACATTTTCAAGGTAGAACTTATTTGTACATTCTGCAGTTGTATAGAATGTGTGCCAACATAGAAAGTATAGATATGGGGAAATATTCTAATAAGACTTTTAAGTTCATATATGATTTATAGATGCAGATTAAAATAACTTACAGAAATGCATGGTATTTTTATCACATTAAAACTTGAGCCTGTGATGTCTCAGATTTTTCTTTTTAGTTATGTATTTTGTTGGCAGATGTACTTCATCAAATGTGTGTAAGCATTAAGTTTGTTTCTGTATAGAAATTACTATGTCAGAGAAATCTTCAAACTGATTAGGTCGGTCAAATGAATGAGAAAGTCAAGCTTTACATACTTTACTAAATAAATCACTGGCAACCTAATTCCTAAAACACAGAAGAGAGTTCGTTTGTCTGCTGCTTTTTTAGGTTTGTTAGTTTTATTTTGTTTTTTTTTTTAGAATGGGTAAAAAAGTAAAGAAGGAAGGAGAGTCTCCACCCAAGGATGTGGTAAGTTTATAAACTGGTATGTTCTATAAAATAAACATTACACAACTATAGGCCCAGTTCTACCATCCTTACATAGTTCCTTACTCTCCTAGCTTACCCACATTATTCTAAAAATGGCTTTTAAATATGACTCTGTTTATGCTTTTCTTGGACGGCATACAAACCAGAGTGACTGGGCATGTGTAGTTCTTTGTGGAGATTGTTGTCTTTGGCAGGCTTTGCAAATAGTAATGTATGAAACAATCCAGGCTTCTTTTTATTTGAAGAACAGTATTAGCTTTCCATTTGTAAAAATCAAAGGAGAAAGGAGAGCAACCTGGCATCTGCCTGTCTTTTCAACTGTGGAGACATTCCCTTTCTTTAAGAATGAAAGAGTTAAGAGCCTAGAAGGATCTGCAGAGTTTTTTACTGAATACAAAATTTTACATTTTGAGTGACAGTACTACATATTCTGGCTCTTTTGCAAAGATGATAGAGTCTTTAGAAGCAGTTCAGGTTTTTCTGGTATAATTGGAAGTGCCACAGTGAGTAGTACAAGAGCTGAAGCCAAATAAAGAATAATGGTGGTGTAATGGTTTAAACCCAGCTGGTAATGCAGTACCCCACAGCTGCTCACTCACCCCACGCTTTCCCCCACAGCTGCTCACTCACCCCACGCTTTCCCCCTCCCCAGGTGGGATGGGGAGGAGAATCGGAAGAATGTAAAACCCACATGTTGAGATAAGTTTAATAACTAAAGATAACTATAGTACAGTATAATAATAATAATAATAAATGGGAAATAATGAGAGATAAAAACAGGAGAGATAAAAACTCAAAGGGGAAAGAAAAAAAAACAAAACAAAACAAACCAAAATAAACCCAAAACAATAAACAGAAGACCTGCTGACCAATATCCAGCCCGATCCAAGCAGCAATCTGCCCTTCCAGGTAAACTACCAGTTCCAGGTAACTACTTCCAGTTTATATACTGGGTATGACATGCTGTGGTATGGAATACCCCTTTGGCTAGTTTGGGTCAGGTGTCCTGTCTTTGCTTCCTCCCAGCTTCTTGTGCCCCTCCTCACTGGCAGAGCATGAGACTGAAAAGTCCTTGATCAGTGTAAGGGCTACTTGGCAGAACTAAACCATCAGTGTGTTATCAGCATTGTTCTCAGACTAAATCCAAAACACAGCACTGCACCAGCTACTAGGAAGAAAATTAACTCTATCCCAGCCAAAACCAGGACAGGTGGCAATGTGAGATTTAAGGGTCTAAGACTAGCATGCTTTTCAAGAGTTTCTAAAAATTCACAAGCTACAAAGACACTCCCAAAAAGATAGAGGTTCAAAATGTAGGTATTTTTAAAGTTTAGTTTAGAAAGAAGTAGAGGAAATAAGACAGAAACATTGAGAAGAGTATAATACAAATTCTGTGCCAGATAACTAAGTTAATGCCAATCAGGATCTCAACAAGTCCCATAGAGGAGCATGAAGCTAAATACAAAGTTCAGTGCATTATTTAAAAAAACCCAGTCGGTTTGTCTGTAAAGAGTGATGGTACTGCAAGAGCTTTTTCAAAGGTCATAGAAAAGTTGACCAGCAAAACCTATGTCACAATTTCAATATTAAGTAAGCATAAATAGTTTTGACTATGTAATATCCGATAGCCATGATGTCACTGAAGCATAGCAATTGATACCAGGTTTTTCCCAACTGTTCTGTGGAAAGAAGAATTACAAACATAATTCATAAGCTTCAATCAATAATAAGTCCTTACAAAGCAAAACTTGACTTCAGCATGACAGGATAAATACATCTAATGCCATTTCTGTATAGAAGGTGTAGGTGGATGGGACTAATTAAAATAGGTGTGAAAAATTAAAACTAAGTATCTTTGCAGTCTAAGAAAAAAAAAAAGAAGGCATAAGAAGTAGATTTAAGGCATACAAATGAGCCATCCCCCTCCCAAGTAATAAAAGTGAACTTTCCAGTTAAATACCTAGAAAGTCAGTAGAAGCAGCAACACAATTTCCATATCCAAAAGACAACATTAAAGTTTCTGGAGGAATGTATGGTACAGCCTACTAACTATAGCAATAAAACATCAATAATGTTAGATGTCAACATAAAAGTCAATATATTAGAAAACATATTCAACAACTGAAAAAACTAAGCTCACAGAAAAGGTCAGTAAAACTATTAAAAAGGGAAGAATTGGAAAGAGTGAAGTTCAGATGGCATCTGAATTTTTTGGCTTAGCTTTTACCTTTATTGTACTTTGGGCTAGCATCAGTTCTAGCGGTCATATCAAGAGGAAAAAACCTGAATTTTGCATAGCAAAACAGTATTAAACATGAAAATAAATCATTGATTAGTTGTAACTATCAACCAAGAAAGTCTTCTAGCTATGAGAATATTGTTTATAGCATCATGTAAAATCAAATCTCAAAACTTTAAATTTCACCTGGATGTTTCAGATGGCAGGAAATGAGATGCAGGCAAAATAAAAGATACACTAGCTATTATCTTGTGATTGATAATCTGCTTATGAAAATGTCAAGTCCAAGAAAAGAAGCCTTGAGATAATGTGGACAGGTTTATAAAAGAGGGCCTTTGTGCATGTGGAATGCTCTGAGAATATATGGTATTGCAGTTGACCACTAATTTTTATAGATTTCTAGGAACAGGTGGGAAACACATCTCTTAGCTTAACCACTGCTTATGTTTCAGAAGGTGTTCCTGAGGACTCTGTTTTCCCTGCCTTTCATAATTTGTCTTTTGCTATTATCTGTTATGAGAATTGGGCTTCTCGAGGAAAAATACTGCTTTCAGCCTCTCTCTATATACGGATAACCTTAGCCAGTAAAATATGCTAGCTTTGACGTAGACTGATAGGATCTTTTCACATGGTATCTTCATTAAATTTAGTGTTGATAACATTACTATTTGATCATCAGCTAGGGCATAGACTTTAAAAGGGAAGCCTAGCATTAGCACTAGAGAAAACACAGAGACATTATCACTGAAAGAAAGTCACAGATACCCTAGTATTTTTGAAAATGGCTTCAGTCATAACACTGATGTTAAAAAGGCGGAATATATGGAGTGGCACTGTCAACTCCTGAAATTCAATCTCCACAGAAACAACTTCTTTGAGCAATTAATGCCTAAATATTAATTTGACTTTAGTAATGTTTTCAAAACTGTCTCCCATAACATCATCATAGACGAACTGATGAAGTTCTTGTTGCTGAGTTATTATTAAACTAAACGACTTATGGTACAGTAAGCTGATTACATTTTCTTTAAAAAGGAGCTTTGTTCCATGACTCATCCCATGCCTCTAGCTTGTCACAGCAAGCATGGAGTTGGACAGTGGTTTCAGGTTTTCAGACATGCTTGAAGATAGTAAGACCAAGCATATCAGCCAGGCAACCTTTTAACTGTTTATGTAGCTTGGATCTTGATCTTGCAGGCTGTTAAGCTGTGTGATATGCCTTATGGAAGGTGATGAAATGATTTCCTTTAAAAACCTAACAAAATAAGAATTTAGAAATTTGGGTGCTAGTATCATATTTTGCTTTATTTTTTAGCAAGTCAGAGGAGGGAGAAGGAAAAAAGCCTCCTCTTTGTTTTTTTCCTTCTCGCACACTCATAACTTGGTTGAAGATTTGCTCTAAATAATTTCCTTGCTTGACAACTGACTTGTATGTATCTTCTGCTTGACAGCTGACTTGTATTGTTCAGCAACATGTGATTCTGAGGTAGCTCATAGAGAGTGAAGTAAAAGAAATAATAGACATTTTAAAATACATATGGTATAAATAAATATACATTGTAGTAATATTTTAAAATAATTTTGATTTTCAAGGTTAATACATTGGTACTGAGAGACTGCATTACTCCAGTATCTAGTAGTTTATGTATGTAACACAGATATTCTCTAGGCCTAAAGTGTGAGGAGGGAAGACAGTATTTCCATGTTAAAAAATGTATTTTAAATCCAAACAAACTTAAAACATTTCAATAGGTGAAATTTTCAGAAATCCTTGAGTCTTGTTAAAGAAGAAAACACTTTTTTAGAAGATTCCCTTGCTTAATTGGTGTTAGTCCTAAAGAATCTATTAAGAGGGTGAAAACTGCCAGACTTCTTGGGAGATTTCTTTCTGTACAAGAGGTCAGAAATGGAAATTAACACTATGTATCATTTCTAGATGGATGAGCAGGGATTATATAATGGAAATACTTCAGCTAATCAAGATCATGGTGAGCTACTGAACTGAGTTGACAAAAGCACAGGAAGGGTCCTTTTTACTTTTTTAAAAGCAACAACGAAGTGTTAATGCCACAGAGTAACCAAATCCTCTTCCTCATACCATGCCTAAGTTCATAGGCCCTGTGCACAGCTGCTCAAAATAAACTTCTCATGTTCATTTCCAAAGCTCAGGAGGCTCTTATGTGTGTAAGAGAATTACATAGTTTGTTGTCCTCAAGACTTCCTAGATGTACAGTGAAGTGTCATGATTTCCCCAAAATTTTCATATGTGATGAAATCATGATTATATCTGAAAGTCAATAATTCTTTTTCATTTTTCAACAGTGTTTCCAATTGTTATTGAGAAAATAATTTCTCCAGGTAGATAGCTACTCATGTTCATATTTCTAATCCAGTGTAGATATCAAACTAGATTTAATTATTTTTAGGGAAATGTGAGTCTGCTGCAGCACACAGGAATGTTTATAAGCAATAGTTTGATATAAATCAAACTACTCTCTCCTTTTTGTTTTTATTTGTAGCTTGATCCTTTATTGATTGAAAGCAAAACAGCAGCAACAGTTGTGTTAATGCTTAGTTCTCCTGAAGAGGAAGTTTTGGCCAAAGCATGTGATTCTCTCTATAAATTTGCATCAAAAGGTTAGTTTTTTGCAATGAGCTTTCCTTTGTGTTGTTTGGATTTTGATAGTAATTCATGATTTTTTATTTTCCTAGCACTGAAACTTTCGTTTCATCTCAAAGGTGTCTGTCAAGGTTTTGGTGGGTTTCTGAAATATCTGTCAAACCTGAATTTGCAGTAATAAATCCTGTCGTTTGTGTGAAGAAAATTTTTATCATTTTGTTGTAGAATTTTATATTCCCTGTTTAATCGAACTTGTTTTAAATATGACCTAGATTTGTTTTGTTATGAGCAGCAGACCTGCATCTAGGAAAGAATTCTCTTTTTTTATGTTACAGTTTGAAACTTCTGTACCACTATAGTTATTTCAGAGTTCAGTTTTTCAGTAAAAATTACTTTTTAGCCTGTTTCTGTTATTTTTGCATATAGCTCTTGTGTCAGTACTTTTGTTACAGATGATAAAGGAGGCTGAGCAGTCTCCAATATATCAAGCTGATTTCTGTATGCATTGGGAATATAGCAAGTCCCCAGGATTCCAAACCTTACAAAGGTCCCTGTATTATCTATATCTAAGTGTCATGTTCCAGGCACCCAGAAGACAACTGTGTAAAAAAGGCTCAAAATTACGTAGCACATAATTACCTAAGTTTCATCCTATTTATTCCATACCAGCCACTCAAATTGGTATACACTGGTAGCATTCTTGGTATAATTAAACTGTTCTAACATAAATTTCCATTTATTTTATATTTTCTTTAAAAATTATGAGGTTATTTGCTGATTGTTGTACTGATGACAATTACCAACACTGCTGAGTGAGAGGAGAGCTAAAGCCTTTGACAGCGGGCTAGGGATCATAGGACTCAGAAAGATCTTTAGGTTCAGCTTAATACGGCAATTTAGGCTGAGGGCATCCAACCAGATTTTGAATATGTGAAGGGAGAATTTGTACTGTTGGGAAACAGTTATGAATCACACACTATAAACTCTTTTTGGCTTCTTCCCTGCTGTCCACAGGAAGATGTGGCACACTGCAGGAGGGCAGATATTTAATTTTTCTGTTTCTACTTAATAAACAATCCTGTAAGTTGTTCATGTAGATATTGCTGCAGTCTTCTGGAAGATGAGACCATACTTTGCTGTGTGGCATAAGAGAAGTTGTTGTTTTCTCTTTACAGTTAATTAATTTCTTGAATGTTGCTAGTAAATTAAGTCCCATCCCTCAGTAAAAAAATAGTTCTTGTATTTTAATTGTGTTTTGGCCCGAGAGTGAGCACAATTCTTCTGTTTCTCCTCACATTTCTCACTTGCAGCTGGAAAAGAAAGGCATGGCTTATTAGAAAATGAATTATAATTATGTTGTGGGAACTGAGAATAGAAGTAGTTTTCAGATTTTATTTCTTGAGTTTTGTGTGGGTTTTTTGAGTAAGCAGGAGCAGAAAGAAGGCTGTAATCATACAAAACACTTCTGTTCTTTGCGTGGCCAGAGCTTATTCAGCTACAAAGAGCTCCATTCTCAGGTGGTAGAAATCTCAGGTGGCATTTAATGATCCAAATCCTGGTAGCTGCTTCAGTTGAGGGGTTCTCAGAATGAATTAACTGTTATTTTGAGGAAAATAAAATTGGGAGGCAAGAAAAGAAGAAAATAAAATTAGGTTCTTAATGATACCATTCACCTGTACTTCACTAAATAGAAAGCTGTCTTTTGTACTACCACTTCAGTCTCCAACAAATGAGTTGGGTGTCCAATAAACAAAAGCATCCTTTGCTTTACAAATGTGAATTAATCCTAGACATTATTAATCCTTGATACTATTTGACAGATGCATATGTTATTTGGGGTATAGATTAGACCAACTCCCAGGATCCTGTCCAGGCCTTTGTTATTTGTCCAATAGAAGATTGGTAGCTGCTTTACTTTGTGACATTATAACTGTGAGCATTTTTCATTTTTATAGAACTTTTAACCTAATTACTCTTCAGGTGATGAAAACAAAGCAACGCTTCTTGGTCTTGGTGCTGTGGAACAGCTGTATAAACTCATCTCACATGAAGATCCAACTGTACGTAGAAATGCCATCATGGTATTTGGCATCATGGCTTCTAATTGTAAGATTCTCCATTTTTTAATATTTTCTGCTGTGTATGAGTGTGGTCATCAAAGCAATACGTGGCCCATGTGAAAAAAAAACTATATAGTGGCCCAGAACAAAGGAACAAATTGAGCTAGAATGAACTCCACTGATTTTGAAAAGAAAATCACAAGAGAAGTTAATTTTCCTCCAACCCTTATTTTTGTTATGATGTGGCCAAATTGAAAGAGTCTATTACTGGAGCTATGTCTGTCAAGGAAAGTCTGGCTGCATGAGACGCCCACCAATGTGGACGTGATACATTCTTTTACAAAAGTTGGAGGAGAAGGATAAAGTAGTATTTATCATCTACATGAAATGCTCTGATTAAATATCAGTTGTTACTTGGGGCATTAGTGTAACTACAGTGATAAGGGAGAAAATGTGTTAAATTTAAAGTAGCTAACTCAAGTATTGAGGAAAAAAAAAAAAAGCCTGAGCTATCAAGCATTGGCATGCATATTTACCCAGCTTCTCTAGCAGGTCAGTGCTGTTGCAAATGTTTTGTTCTGTATCTGAACTAGTGAAATTCAAGTAGTCTTGAATCTTTCACATTAAGACAATATGACATTGACATTCACGTCAAGGTGGTATACCTACTGTAACCATACCATTATTAAATGATTTAAACACTCTATATGCAAATTTTCTTGTACCTTTTTATAAAGTAAGAATGGATGTATTGCATCCATGCTGGGTGGCTGAGTGCCAAATAATCAGGCTGTAGTGAGTGGTAGGTAGACATACCTGAAGATGAAACAATAAGTGATGTAAGGTTGAGTTTTAGTGGCTATTATTTTTACTTTGCTTTATAAGCCTACATCTAATGAATATAATTAATCAGGTCTTATTTTGGTAGATGTTCTACCCAGTTGGTAGAACATACCCAGTTCCATGGTGTATTCAAGTCTTCTCATCAACTGCTACTTGCTTTTCATGTTGCACTGGACCTTGTGCTCTTTACCTTCCTTTCAACTTGGCAGTTGCATACCATCATTCCCTTCAGAACTTAGCTTTCAATGCTGTTGCACCAACATGGATAGGAATGACTGAAGATCTTCCATTATATTCATAGGTTAATTGTTTTTTTTTTTTAAAAAAGTAAATTCAATTTAACAACTTTTTTCTTTTATTTCAATACTGTAATATATTGATAGTGACAACTTGGCACTGTAAGATCACATAAAGCCTGTCCCAAAGAATGTTTTTTGTTATTCTATCCAGTGATTGTGGTTTTACTAGTTTGCCATTGACAACAGTAAAAATGCATTCTGAAAGTCTTTACTATAATTTTAATAAACCCTATATAACTCATATTTTCAATTTGCAGTGTGGGTTGTGTTAGCATAAAATAAGGAAGTGATGGCTTGAAAATTAAATAACAGAAAGATTGATTTTAATTTGATAATCTTAACCACAAATAATTTTAACTAATTGGGTTATGACTCCTTTGACAACTAAAACTGTGCAATATTTGATCAGAGCCTGCTAAATGCATATATTTTGAATCAAGTTTCAATGAAGTATTGAGGAACTTCATATATATCAAATGTCAATGACAGTCATCTGGTACTTCCTTAATATTTTCTAGGCTCATTATGATCTTGATATATTTTCAGTTGCATGTCATTCCTAGTCAGATCTTTTTGTCACTCAGGGAGTAACCATAAGTACATTTTCCTTGAGCAGAATCTGTTTTTTTTCTCAAGATTGAAATAAGGATTTACAAGCCAAGATTGTCAAATGAAAGACTTCATATTTGTATTTATTTTATTGTAGATGATGTCAAGAAGTTACTGAGGGAACTGGATGTCACAAATTCACTTATATCACACCTGGTGCCAGAAGGTAGCTTGCAGTATTCATTCCTTGGGTAAAAATACACTCAGAAATAATTTATGATTGCCATTTGATTATACAATTTTATAAAATCTTCCTTGCGATTTTTTATTTGTCATACTATATGTTAAATAGGTAATTGCTTTTATAGAAGTAGTTCTGTTATTCACTGAGTAGTGGTTTTCATTGTACAGATGTATCAACATGTTTATGGAGATGTCAGGTATGGTTAACAGCTATTGTTTATGGGCTTCAAATAATATTTTAAACCATAGGATTAGTGAACATATGCTGTGCTGAATTAAACTTGATCAATTTTTTTTTTTCCCCATAGAAGATGTAGTTATTCATGAATTTGCTACTCTCTGTCTTGCATATATGGCTGTTGAATATACTACTAAAGTACAAATATTTGAGCAAGGTGGATTAGAACCACTTATCAGGCTGCTAGGTAGCCCTGATCCTGATGTTCAGAAGAATTCAGTTGAATGTATCTACCTCCTGGTGCAGGTAAAGTTTGTTGTTGTTTTAAATGGGAGAGTCAGATAAGCACTTATCCCCCTTGGCCACCCTCTACAGGGTAAATAAGTTTTAAATATTTGGTTCCTCTACTCCCCAGTGTTCATCAATGTATTTGAAAACATTACGTCCAAGTCCCTGATTGTTACATCAGTTATAAATATAGCTGATTTGACTCATTTTGTTGAACTTAATGCAATTATCCATTCTCTACAGCAAAGTAAGTGAGATCAGAATCAGATTCAGATTTCTTTAATTAAATATGAATTTGTTTTCTTAGTTGGAAAATGTTAATCTTGGTAATTAGAGTTATAACCTGTCTATCCAAAGGTTGGAATAATGCTATAAATTAAAGAACTAACAATTGCATTGTGCCTTGTTTTGGCCAGCAAGTCCATAGTCCCAGTTTTGAACATCGTTTTAATCAGAGGTGAATGCTGTCAACAGCTACTTTCCATACTGGGAGGAACAGATTTGTTATTGGCTACTTTCACACTCAGCACTAATGTCATCCATATGCTGCTTAGCAAAAGAATGGTGCATTTGTATGGCAGTTCTTTTCCATGGCTTAAGCGAATCAATTCAATAATGAATTCAGTTTATAACTCTATCTCTTTTGGGGCATCAGAGCATGTCTATTCAGAATCACATTTTACTCTTTCTCCTTTTTTACTATCTCGCTGTCTTTGTTGCAGGGTATATCTGGATAACTGCACCTGGTGCTTGCTTATATTGATAAGGATAATTGCATGCTGCACATGTGCAATAAGCTATTTAAAAGCAAATTGTAATTTATTTATTTTTTTTCTATTTTAATACATCTACTACTGTCTTTTTATTAAGCTGCATATACACTGTTTAAAGTTGAAATTTTAAATTGTCATTTTGTAATTACTAAAACAAAGGAAGTTATAACCAAGCAACCACAGTAAAGTGCAAAAACTGCTTTCCCCCCACTAAGGTAAATCAAAATGATAAAACTAAATTTAAAAAACTTTCTCAAAGAAACGTGTGTTGAGACAAACATGGCAAAACCAAGAGTAAATAGGCTTCCTTAGGACAAGATTCTGTAGCTTCTGTGTACTTCAGTCATGCAAAAAAAATTGGAATTTAAGATTGGTTGGGCTTGATTATATTCAGTTTGATTCTTAGCTGAAAAGAAAGAAATATTCAGAACTGGAAATTCTGGAATATTGACTTTTTTGTGTGTTTGAAAGCAGATTTTTTATGTTCTTTCTGTAAAGTCAGGAATTGATGTACTGCTATATTCTCTATCATTAACATTCTTTGTTGAATATTTTACTGCAGGATTTTCAAAGCCGTGCTGCAGTTCGTGAACTGAACATAATTCCACCCTTGCTGGAACTACTGAAATCTGAATACCCAGTTATTCAGTTGCTAGCCCTTAAAACCTTAGAAGTAATTAGCAAAGATGGAGAAACCAGGATAATGCTGGGAGAAAATAGAGGATTAGATTGTCTTCTGACGATACTGGAAACTGATGTACAGTTCACTTGCCTTAAAAGTTTTTTGTTCTTGCTGCTAATGTTTGTATGACTAATGAGAAATATTATCCCTGTTATGGGAATAACATGAATAGGATAAAAGAAGAAAGAGCTCCTTACTTGGAACTGTTATAGGATAAACTAGGATTAAGAAAGGGAGCAAAAGGGTTCACCGCAGTTCGTATTTGTTTTCTTGCTTTTTTGCAATTAGTAATACTATTTTGTATTTACTATCCATTTCTCAAACTATTGCACATATCAGAAAAATCCACCATATAGCTTTTTATATGATGTTTTCTCTGAATTTATATGATGTTTTCTCTGAATTTTTGATTATATGCTGAACCCTGGTGCTGGCTCCTAGTTTGAACATTGCTCTTTTTTCCCCTGAATATACATTGATATCAATGGCCTGAAATATAATTTCCTGCATTAGAAATTCTATTGTTTATGCTATTATGAAACTCATTTTAGTGCTTCTTGAGTTCAGCTGTCACCATGGGAAATGCAATGCATAGAGAAATTTGTGAAGTATTTGAAATTCTCAGATGACAGATCCTTTCTGATCCTACCTGCCTACCCCACTTTGATGTAAATGAGAAAATTCTGGGGGTTTTACTGATTTTGACAAATTGTGTTGCATCCCAAGGCACATCACAGAAATTATACAAAAAAAAAAAAAGAGTATGAAAATAATGTACTTTGCAGTATGAATAGACTGTCCAAAAGACAGTTATGACAATTATACTACAATGTTAAATGATTAAGATATTTTAGTCCTGTTTTGAAGGTTATTTGTTTGGGGATTTTTCTTTACTAGGAATTCAGTGATCTACATGTGGAAGCTCTTGCTGTGTTGGGAAATTGTCTCGAAGATGTGCATACTCTGCAACTGATTCAGCAGTCAGGAGGCCTTAGAAAGCTACTTTCATTTGTAGGAGACTCTACCATTCCCGATATTCAGAAGAATGCAGCAAAGGCAATTACCAAAGCAGCTTATGACTGTATGTGACTTTTTAAAAACCTACTCACATGGATTTGTTTATGAAGTAAATTTTTATCTAGAATGATTCCATCTTACCTGGTTGAGGGTAGTACTTGTGCTGATGAAAACACTGGCAACAATAAATTACAGTGATGAATTTTACCAATCAGAGCAGCAATTGGATGCTAGGATATGTATGTATAGATACATATGAAAATCTTAAGATTTTGCCTCAATTTATTTTTAAATGTAATATATTCTTTCAAAATGTCCTCAGAAAGGAAAATACAGCACTCTTTACCTTTTGTCCAATGATGCCAGGTAACTGCCATCTTAAGCCACCTTTGCTGGCACTATTTCTCATCCCTGTCAGTTAAGACTTAATAGCAAGCTTACTTCCTTCTGCACACAACTGCCCCTCTAAATGTCAGGCAATTTCAAATACAGATTCCTTTAACCGGGACATGAAAAACAAGCCTTTCAAATGCATTGCAGATTAATATTCCTAGTGGAGTTAAATAGCTTCATTGTCATCTTTTTATAATTATTCATCCTATAGTCTTTCTTTATCCACTTTTCTTTAATTCACCAAGGCATTCTGAATTAGGCAGAACATGCTCATCATTTTGCCCACAAGGATACTCTTTAAATAAATCTACATTTGAAATTCCTTCCATGTATCGGCTTCTGAGTTACAACATATGCCTAGTAGTGCCGTGTAACAAAATGCAATGTAAGAAATAATATACTTCTGTCTATAGAAGATTTTAATACAGTCAAGGGATTTTGATGAATTTAACAGTAGAGCTTAAATATTTCATTCAAATTTCTATCATCTCATAATTGAATCATGGCTTTAATTTATGTGTATTTTACAAACATGTTCTCTAATTTAATACATGGCTAAAATAATCTCTCCTTTCTACAGTATTCAGACCTCCTTTCTTCTTTCCCCATCCTGTCTTTCCAGTTCTTTTCTCGCCTTGCTTAGTTTGACATCCTGAATATTTGTAATTATTTGGATTGCAAATGTTACATGAAAAGAGTATTTCTAGTATTTCTTAGTATTCTGTGGGTTTCTGTGTGCTTTTATCTATTGGAAGCTTTGTAAGTCATTGAAAGTTATTTTCATTAATGTTTAGGTATCAAAGATAGGATGGGACTTTATTATGCCAGTATTTTCTTTGTGTATTTTTCTGTATTGTCATTTTATTATACTACTTAGGACTGTCAGTATCATTTTTATAGTCCTGTGACAGGCTTGTAAGCAGTATGCTAAGCAGATTTATATTTGCTCCTGCTACTTTCTACTGCATCTTACTCTTTTTCATATTTATTTTCAAATAAGCATAGCCTTCTTTTCCTCTTTCACATGTTTTTCAGTTTTTGTGGTCTAATATTTTAGCAGCTGTTAGTAGAAGGATATCTGAACACAACATTTTAAAAGCATGGTGGCAAGAGCTACACATAATATATTACAGTGCTAGCTATGATCTTATATCATAGGATGTTACTGTCAGTGAAGATGCATCTTCTTGTCATACTTCTTTACAAATGGAGTCAATGTAGTTTCATTATAAAGGTTTGCTCTCTTCTTCAGCCTATGACAGTTAGCATGAATGCAGCAAGATGAGAAAGTAGATCCAAAAAGATGTAAAATATTTGCTTCCAGCTGTAGAATTTTAGGGACAACCAGTTAGACAAAGGGCAATATGTTGTACCGGTCAGTGGAAAACCCAGTCCAGTCAACTTGCTGCTGAACATGTTCAACTTGCTTCTGCCCCCAGTAGTACTGAATTTATTGCAGATACATACAGCTACTGCTCTAAAGTCAACCTTCCAGTGGAAGGAAAAGTGTCATTGGGGCCATTATAAGAAACAGTCCAAGTGCAAAAAGAAAAGAGAAATGTTTGCAGTTCATTTTTGTTTGGTTGGTTTCTGGTTGTAAATATACTAAACAGCCTATCCAAACTGTAACACTAATGTATACTATACTAATACTTGCCTTGATGTAAATCCAGTATAATACAGTGCAGCTTTAAGTTCTTTCATGACTTTTTCACTAAATTTACAATAGCCATACAGTAGCCCACATTCCTCAGGTTTGATAATTGTGGTTGCAATTTACCAACATTTCCTGCATACTCGGGAGAAAAATAAAGAAATTTAAAACTTTCTTCTGCTGTGATGGAACATAAATGTAGCTGTTTTTTTAATTGTGGCAGCTGAGTACACAGCAATGTCTGGTTTTGAAACCATTATTATTGACAGATGGGATTTAGTTTTGGGTTTTTTTTTCCTGATAGACATGATTATAGCAAACAGTTTTGGTTTATATCCCTTTCAGCCCTTTGGAAAGGGACTCCTGTAACTTTGTTGTTGTTGCTGTTATGTATCCCTTAAGAGCTATTCTCAGTATCAGTATAAATTACATGGTACTATCACTATATTCCATTTTAAACAGCATCTTTAGGATGCTGTTCTGTTTAAATAAAGTAAAAATGATCATATTTCTATGTACAATCATCTGATTGCCCCTGAAAATTTGTTTTGTTCTGTAACATGATTTTGAATTCATTATTAATTAATATATTAACTTATTAATGGTTTTATTTTGTATGCTTAGAATTACAGTGGTGAATTTTACTGTGATTCCCTCCTTGCCCAGTAAATAATGCAGTCATATAGGAATTCAAAATATAATTTAATACTATAAATTGAATATCTATGATGGATTATCTGGACTCTTGATTAAAGAGGACCTAAGTTTCCCCTGACAGCTCCAGACACACCAGCAACAACAAAATGATATGGAGTGTGTACGAAGAAAATGATGATCATGCTCACTTGAGTTTGGCCTCACTCTGCTAAACCTGGTTTGAAGCTCTGCCTGTTCTTTACATGTATTTAAATGCAAATCCTTTCAAAGGGGGGCATACTAGCCATGCTCTGTAGCCTGATTAACACATGCTTTTTCATAATACAGGGGTTTATTTATCCGGGTTATCTCAACTCAAGATCAGTGAGAGGTCATGATATTATTTAACATTAACTTTTTCATTTGAAATTGGTATAAATAATTCCATAGGGTGGTGACAATGAGATGAATAAGTAACCAGTAGAACCTCTGGAATAAGAAGGGGTAATAGGAAAATACATTGAAAAACATAGGTTGGCTCATGATGGGATCAGTGCATGAAAAAATGGACGGAAGTGTTAGTACTCCAGACTCTTTTAGTAGGATGTGCCTGAGTATTTCACTTTGTGTTAAATCAGAGTATTCAAATTACTTAGGGGTCAGAAAATTCATCACTGTAAATACAGTGTTGGCACTGACATCGGAAGGGCTTAAGTACAAAGGGTGCTTTTCAATTGCACATTCTTTCTTTTCTATAGTAAAGGAAACAACTCACACAAACAGAGAGAGGATTAGCAGAAAATATACATCCTTTAAATAGAATAGGGACCTGGATCTTAAAATATTAATTTTCATCTGTCTAGCTAGCTAAATATAGATACATTCTCTTTGCCATAAATTGAAAACCAAAATCTCTTCACATTGTTGAAAAAATTTTATTCTGTGTAAAATATTTTAAATAGATATTTTCACTAATTCAAATAAATTACTCATACTGGTATTTCATATAGGCATAAATTATCTTTAAAATGAAATGCTTGCCCATCACCATAATTGCCTTTAGAAGCAAGAATAATTTTTGAGAAAATCTGTATAGTAATAAGTAACTTGCTGTACAAGAACCAAATTACTGAGGCATAAAGAGATCTAGAGATCTAATGATCTAGAGATCATTATTAGGGATTATGGACTACTTTGGAAAGCAACAGGCCAGCGGCATACTTGAGAAACTGTCAAAATGGTCTGTAATCCCAGTTATGGCCTTCTCTTGAGAGCTGGCTGATACTCATCAAGGCTGTGGCCAAGGTTCTGCTGACGCTAAAAATCTTTTCTCTTTCATTTATTGCATCTTTTGCTTTGTGATTTCAGTTGTGTATCTCTGATGATTCTAGAAATATTTAAAATGGAGCTGGGTAGGAGAAAGCAGCTAACTGTCTCATGTATGTGCATTGACACCTTTCTGCTGTAACCAGGTTTTCAATCAAACTTCTTTTTTTTGGCTTTGTGGACTTGTCTGTTTACTTTTATTCTCTACATATTCAGTTTTATTTAAAAGAATGCTTATGTTGTTCTTCTTTCCTTTTTAAACTTTTTAATCCTAAACCAACAGTTCAAAGAAATGAGTGTTCTCTCAAAGCATTAGTAAGCACTGGTAAAATTTCCAAATGTACCAAACTCCTACTGACGTCTCAGATGCTGAATTTCTTTGATACACTTGAAAATTTTGCCATGTAGATATAACTTCTGGCATGTAATTAATCCACTTTAAATTATGCATATGGTTAAATGCTTATTGACCCTCATAACTGTAGGGCTTCTATGCCATCCTGTGCCTTTCTGGCTAAGAAGGTTACCCTCAGGGCTCTTTCTAACAAACACCTGCACTTATGATCTCACCCATTTTGGGATGAGTGAGTTCATTAGTGTAATTATCAGATGTCTGTAGATACTTTGTAGACACTGTATGTTTTTACTTGTGTAGAGGAAGGGAACATCTATGTCCTTCATTAGCTGCTGCCAATCATTGCAGTGTAGGTCAGCAGTGAACCCTGTGTCACGAGGCTAAAATACAAAATTGAGATTCTCTGCAAAGTGTGCATTAATCAAGAACTGCAAGCTGTGCAGAATTTAAAATTCAGCTTTAACACCCCTTGCATTTTGGGGTTTGTGTTTTTTTTTGCTATTGTAGTATGTTAACTGGTACTCCACCAAGTTCAATTGTACATTTACTGCTATGTTCTTCAATTTTATGCATTTGGCTTTGTTAGCATAAACCAAAGTTAAGCATGATGCTGAGTAAGTATGATCTGTTGAATTGGAAAAGCTGTTTTCATCAAGCCTGTATGCATTCTGTGGTTTTAAGTCTTATAGAGAACAAATTTCGCATTCTGTTGGGCTATATGTTTTTAAAGCTGTATTTAATAGTCATCTTCTGGGCTTGATTCAGAGTTCACTGAAAGTCTAATGGGTTTTGGATCAGGCCTTTGTGTACATTTCTTAATTGCTGGTGCCTCTGTTACTAATATGTTTTGATTTCCATGGGATCAAAAGCAAGTGTTATGTTGGAAACAACTATACGAAATCAAAATCATGTCCTTTTGATGATCTGGAAAATTAACACAGGTTAATGCTATTGTTCTTTTTCATTTAAAGCGGAAAATAGAAATATCTTAAATGAGGAAGAGGTTGAAAAGTGTCTCATAAACCTTTTGGAAACTGATAATGATGGAGTTAAAGTTGCTGCTTCCCAAGCAATTTCTGCCATGTGTGCGAATTCAGCTAGCAAACGTGCATTTGGACTCCAGGGTAAGTAAGGTGGGAAGGAATGAACTGAGAATCTGTGCTTTTTCCTTTTATAAGGAGCATATTATAATTTCACAGACTGCCATGGTTTATTTAAAGGTTCATGTATACAATTATTTCTTTCAAAGGGATTCCCCAGCTAGTACAGTTGCTAAGCAGTGACAATGAAGAGGTAAAAGAAGCTGCAGTGACAGTATTAGTTAATTTGACAGCAGCCAGTCCTAGTAATGCAAGGTAAGTCTGCAATAATTAAATTATTATTTAGAACACTGACCTGAACGCAAGTGATGTTTTGATTTTTAAAGAATGCTTTACCTAGTCCTTACCCTACAAGGCGGGTCTGTTTGAATTTGACTATAAGGCACTTCTTGGTGCTTATGTGTCATCTGGAATAGGTTGTTTCTCATCAGTGTTACAAGACTTACGCAATCTCCACTAATGTTTGCTTTATCAAGGAAAGGTGTGAGGCAGATGCAATAAAAGCAGAGATATACATCATGTTTTTAAGGGAACATATGAGGAAAATATGCCTTGTAGTCTAAGGCATTTGATGTGGGATATTTTTTGAAAATTCAAAATCAGTGTCATGGTTTAAACCAAACCAGACAGCTCATTCACTCACTTCCCCCCCCCCTTCTTGCCCTCCCCCTACTCCCAGAGGGATGGAGAGGAGAGTCAAAAAAAATGCAACTCCCCCGGGCTGAGATAAGAACAGTTTAGTAACTAAGGTATAACACAAATCACTGCTGCTACCACCAATAATAATAATGATAAAGGAAATAACAAGGGAAGAGAATACATCATCTCACCACCAGCCGACCGATAACTCGCCCCCCAAGCCCAACCAAGCACCGACCCATACCTCCTCCAACCCCACAGTCTCCCAGCCCTTCCAGGTAACTCTCAGTTACATCCTGGGCATGACGTGCTGTGGTATGGAATACCTCTTTGGTCAGTTTGGGTCAGGTGTCCTGTCTCTGCTTCCTCCCGGCTTCCCCTCCTCCTGGCAGAGCATGAGGCGCCAAACCAAAACATCGTTGTTATCAGCTCTGTTCCCAAGCCGAAAGTCAGAACACTGCACTGCACCAGCTACCAAGGAGGAGAAAAATGACTGCTACTGCTGAACCCAGGACAGTAAGGTATCCTTTAAAATTTGATGGTTCATGCAGCTTTTTTGACTAATTTAAACCCAGTCTTTGGTGAGATAGCACTCAGATATTCTGAATATTGACATTGTCTTTCTCTTCCTTTTTTTACTGTTTCCCAAGTAATAGAGAATGCTCTTAGTGCATGCTGTAAACGAAAAGTATAACTTCAGTATCCAAGATAACTAACAAAGGATGGTTAGCTGACTATATGTTCCAAAATAATTGTATCAGCTAAATTCTATTGTCAGTTGCAAGGTTCTGTTACCCAAACTCTATTAAAAGTTCTGTTTAGAGAAAAGAAGTGGAGCAGTCTGACGTGTATGAGTAATCACATGTAACTAACAGACCATAAAATAAAATTACTTAAAAGTTTCCTGGAATATACTTAAGGAAGTTGTGATCCATTCACAGGCATTCTTTGAAGTGAAAAAGTAAAATAACTCACCAAATAAATTATTTGTTTCAATTTATTGATTCAGCTCTTACAGTCACCAGTATTCACTTAATGTTACCAGATGGAGCCATAATTTGACACAAGAGAATAAAACTCTGTTCTCGGATTCACATAGTAGATTTTCTGCTCTTCTCATGCGCATGACTCTTCAGTTGATGTCAGTGGGAGTCATACACATATAAAAAGAGCACAGTACTGGAGTTTAGGGGTCAAACTTTCAGCTCTGCTACAGCTGTTTTTCATAGAGCAGCCCTTTGAGGCTTCACATTGTGAAAAGGAAATCTCTGGAGAGTTTTGAGTTGGTATAGCAGCTTATGCCAACTCGTTCAGTTTCTTTTGCCAAGGAGATAGTCAGGACATTGTTTAGCTCAACTGCTAGAACAATTCTCTGAGACCTCAGGCAGGGAAATAGCTGTCTCTGTTCCTCTGCATTATAATGAAGTCCGTATTTGTTTCTTGCTGGGCAGAGTCAAGAAATTGTAAAGGTGGCTTACACATACCGCTCTCTCTTTGCAACCCAGCTCCAAGTACAATATGGAAGAACCAGATAATCTAATCACAGGTCTTCTGTGAAAATCAGGAAGCAATAATTTACATAAATATGTATATTGGATGAATGCCATGCGACTATATAATTCAAAGCTTCATTTCTAATCAAAACCATTAATAAGTCATAGAAGGGTCCAAGTGTGACTAGGATCTATGAATGAATATATAGAGTTGAACCCTCGGCTGATACAAATTGGTATAGTTCCAGCTCACTGACTATCTGGCCCATATTTATTTTACATTCTCGTAATAGGGAAAAAAAATAGTTTGGAGAAAATGGATTCCAGATTGAGTTACCATAATCATATTTCATCCTGGAATATTTTCTCTGAGTGTCTTGTAAACCACTGAAAATAAGTGTATATATAATGAAGATGCTGATATGCTTTTATAATAACGTGACTTTGCTGTGTAATTATGTTGACAGTACTCTAGTCCCAAATGAGACTAATGAGACTAGTGTCCTTGTATTGGTTATATATTAGATTCTGGTTATAAACCTTCCAAGAATATTAAATCATAAAGCTAGTAGTAGCAGGTAGACCTTACGTGGCAAGAACAAAATGACTACAGTAAAGAGGAAGACTATTTACTATAAATGTTTTTACTTTTTACCACCCAAGAAATCAATCTTGTTGAACTCATCTACATATCTTCTGCCATATTTCATGAGCATTTTTGCATGTATTATATCAATTGAAGAATGTGTACCTTGCCCTTTTATTTTGTACAGTATATATAACAGAATGTAAGGAGAGTACAAAACATTGCTATTTTTGCTGGAGATTTGTTGTTCTTGTTAGGAATATTTGGTCAAGAAGCATCTGTTTTTCCTGTAATATGGAAAAAAAAAAGGGAAAAAAAAAAGTTTAACCACGCTGTGTCAGTAAGGCTCCCACAATAGCTAGCTCCTAAGGATAAAGTCTTCCATTGATAAATAACACAAGAACAGCATAGGCAATGGGCAATACTACCCCCCACTAATGTATATTAACCTTGACCTTTAGGTGCTTCCCCACAGCAATGAAAGGCTAGTTCTATACCTCTACCCAATCAATCCTTTGTTTCTCAACTGAGACAGCTAATAAAGGTGTCAAATATGGTGGAGGTTTTGTAATTAGAACACCTGTTCACGACAAACGGGACGGAGACCAGCTTGTCATTTCAAACAAGTCCCCAAGCAACCACAGTTTGGCAAAAATAAATAAATTCATGAATGACTCTGACCCCCATGGTATTTTAGCCAAAGATCTAGAGCAGAAGAGAACATGGGTCCTATGCAAACTGTTTGAGTTTTCAGGTTTACTGGAAAACACGGATTTTCAATATGATATCTACTGGAACACATACAATTACTATGGATAACTTCTAAAATATTTCAACATTCAAATTTTTGCTGCAGAGCTGGTGGTGTGTCATGCTTCAGTAGCACACAGAAGAAAGTATGGTAGTCAAAAGCCTCATTAGTTTACAGACTGACACCACAGATGATGCTTTTATCAGGATTTTATCTGAAAGTAATGACAGAATTTTTTTAATGATAAATTCTTCATAAGCTTGTTAATAATTAGGCTAAATAAAAATAAAATTGCGGAGCATATTGCAGTTTAAAACCCCATGTACTTATTCTAACATACAACAAAGAAATCATTTTGCTATGTTACTCTTGTATAACTCCAACACCACCCTTGATATATGTCAGAATTTGTTTCTGTGGTCTGCTCCTGAGAAGAAGAGAATTATGTTCAGCTAGGGTTTTGCATCTATTTCCCATTTTTTAATCCAGAACACTAACTTGCTTTATTGAAAACTGTATACAGTTATTTGGACAGCAGAATGCCATTTTAAAGAATCTCTGAAATCTGTCTGGTTTTGATGTGTCCAAGCACCGGGAAATGTAGGCATAGTCACTTCAATAACGTACATTATGCACGAATTGAAAAATTACACGCAAAGAAAGAAACAGCAGTGCCATCTATTGGTCAGGAAAACAAATCCTTCTGTGCTACACAACTCACTACAGAGCAAACGTTTTACTTCACACTCTGCATATTTTTTCCCATTTAAAGTATAATCAATTATTTTTGCTTTTCCTGTATTTAGGATAAGCTAATCATGTTAAATATAAATATTATATTAGTTAGAAGCAACACATAGAAATAAGCTCTTAAGTGTACCAGTTAGACATTAATTTGACTAGCTCTTTTCTTCAGTATTGTCATAGCACAAATGCCATTTCTAATAGCTGTCTTCATAAATCTGGCAATGTCTGAATTCTAGGCACCTAATGGACTTACCACTAAAGAAAAACATATGCTCTGAAATTTAGAGCTTTGTACTGGACATGAAAACTAATCAACAGTTTCAATAATATTTGTCTTAAATTGTTTACTTTAAGCGCAAAATTTATAGCATTCAGTTAGAGTTTGGTCTGGGGGAAGAAGGAAAGGGATGTTTTTTGGTTCAGCTGCATTAAGGGCTGCAGGAAATTGTGGTGCATGACAGACTTATGATCTGTCAGAATATTTCTCCTGGGGTTTATCATTAGTGTCACATTACCTATTTATAAATATTCTATCTGGATTCGAGATAGTAAAGTATCATCCCAAAAATTGCAAAGTCAAGGCAGGCTTGATTTATTTGTACATTAAATATTATATATTTAAATAGTTATTTAATTTTCTAATTCTTCTTTCCAAGACTCAGTGGACCTATTTAAGTAAGCAAAAGTATGTCTATATAGGCAGTTACAGGCATTATTGCAGCATCAGAATACCTGCTTTCTTACATGTATCAAGATTTCCAAGATCTGGGAGTAGGCTGGGCATGGGGAGATAGGTTGTGAACTCACTGGTTATGAGCAGTGCCCAGTAATAAGAAAGTGAGTCAGTCCCTTGACTTCAGTGGGTGTTGCATCTATTCCAAACTGAAATTCAGATACTGATCTAATGACTCAACATAGCACATCCTCAGTCTATTCCATGTGGATAATGCTCATGTGTAGTGAGAGTCTTTCACCTTCTTAAATGGAGTTTTTCAGTATCCACGGCAGATTTGTATTCTTTTTAAGACAGGTGTAGCTGTCAAGGAATAAATTTAAAGAACGTCCAGTTTTCTTACATTTCAAATTTTGTTATTGTCGTTAGGAAGTAATGATTGTTACCATTAGGTAATAATATCACTAGGTAGTAATCTTCCCTATTAGAAAATGGGAAACTTAATCACAGCTTTTTTCTTTCGAGACTGTAGATGGAACCTAATTCACATAAATGGGTCAATATTGAAGCGTCGGTATTACATAAGATAATACATTTGCGTGAATATATGTGTTAAATTATGAGAACAGGAACCAAAATTTCTAGTACATGAAAGCTACATTTAAGAACAGAAATAGGAAATAATCCATTGTATGGGTTTTGTCCTTTTTACAGTTTAATAGTTGTTCTTTATAACGTAAGTTTGTGTTTCTGAAGGAGGGAATCAACAATAGAATGCCGCTAGCTGCATTGTGTAAAGGTAATATGCTTTAATACTGACCCCTAGTGACAGAATCATATTTTTGAGCCACTGTGCTGCAAGGTAAAGGGATTTTGTGGCTTTTGTGGTTTGTGTTGTTATTTTTTACATTAGCACCCATTCTGTTGAGCTCTTCGCAAATACATTTAATGCATGCCATGAACAGATTCCTCCTTTGACTGTCTCTTACTGTATATCCACAGTGCAATGGGTGCTTTCCAAAGAAGAAAAGCTAATGCAGTCATTACCCAAGAGCTCACAAGCTTTTCCTTACAAATTACATATTGACTTCCATTGAAAACTGGTTTATGGTAAATTTCTCCCTTGGCAGAAAAGCTGAATCAAGGCCTGCTGCTGGGATGTCATTCAGAAATGGGTTCCCACTGTGACATTAACATCACATCAGATGACTGATGCGCAACCCACGGACAGTATCCAAAATCATGCCTTGCTGGCAGCTGCGAAATGTTCCACTCAGCCAACTGTTGGTTTTCTCTCTTGGGTTTGTGACAGTGTGGCTATATAGAAAAGTCCTGCTGTGGACTCACTGTAACTGCATTTTGCTCCCATTACAACCCTTCTCTCACAAAAAAACAAACAAACAAAAAAAAGTTATGCATTTTCCTGTTTTATCTTGAAGGCACAGACCAGCTTAGAACATTCAGCTCTAGCTAACACAAATCTCATTTCACAGCATCCTAAGTCCATGAGAACCTAAGAAGTTCTACCCTTTACTGATACAGCAAACTCTTTCAGGCTGTTTGCACTCTCCTACCTTCAAAGCCTTGCAGTATGGTCACTATTTATCTTAGCTGTGGAAGGCTGGACTTTCACTTGGTGCATGTGTGTTGTCACCTGTAACTTCCCATGGTAGATTTCTGTGGGATGAGGTGAAACTTCTCTCTTCCTGGATGGAGAATTCCTAAGCCTGGTGGAGAAAAGTGTGTTTAAAGGAGTGGCACAAGTACAATGATTTCTTTTGAGTGTGTATCCCTACAGTGACATTCGGTTATATGCACTGAGATTAATTATACTTCTTCTGAATTAAAAGTAGCAAGGATTATTTTACATTTGAGTAAATTTCAGGCAAATCTATTGGTGCTTTTACACGCATATTTTCTTTGTAACATATTTCTAAATTACATGTAAATTATTTAAGTATATGCTTTAACTTACTTAAGTGTAGTGTGAAGTTATTTAAGTCTATATAAGGGAATTGCAGGGTTATAGCTGATCATGCAAACTTAATTGTGTCCTGCTGTGAATTTAACCTGTGCACTGACTGTAGCATGCTGTCTAATTGGACTGTTATACACACAAGGGGGTAAAAATAAACTTTCACAAGTAACTTTAACCCTTTTGACTTGCAACCTCAGTAATTTTACCTTAACTTAGTAGTATATGTATACCATGTTAGAGATTTACTTTTGAGAGAGAAAACTAAAAGCATAAGTTTCTCCACCTGAATCCTTGTTGAGCCTTTAGCAAAGCAAAGCAGATTGCTGCCACTGAAGTTCACAGTTGTCCAGAAAAGACTTATCCAGAAGTGAAAGATAGAGTCAAGTTTCACAGTCTGAGTGCTATGTTTAGAGAGACTGACTTGGCACAGCTCTTTTGTACTTCCAAAAATGAAGAGGAGCCACTGTCTCCTCAGTCCGTGTGTCCAAATGAGTTGTGAGGATCCTGCTTCAGCTTTTTCTTTCCTTCCCTTACACCTCCATGAAGGCTGCTCTGGCAGCTCCTGAATGTTCCCTATTATTTTGCTTTTGTCACAATGTGGGTTACAGACTCTCAACATTTGTGCTGAGTTACTGTTTTTTTCATACACTGCTTCTTGAATTGGAAAAAAGAGAGAGGGGGATGGTATCTTTTTCATGAGCTTATCCTGGCAGAAGCTATGTGGGATCTTTAAAGGGAAAAAAAGAGTTTCTGTTGCTGAATTTCAAGCCTTTCTCATTATAGCAGACGTGTCAAAGATTCTTAATAAATGTTGCAAATAATATTATAATTTAAAGGCTCCGATATCACAAATAGATAGTTCATTACCAATGCCACTGTAATATTTTAAATTAAGCATACTCCACTTTTAGAATTGAATTCTGTGTTACTTTGTCAGATGGGTTCAGTGACAGAAGATCTCTGTAGTGCTAAATGAGAGTCAGGTGTTACAGGCTCTGCTAATCCAGATAGTTTAAGGTTTTATTGCTTCCAGACTGTGGAGTTTATTGAGCTTGGGGTTTGTTGATGTTTTAACAAGATACTTCTCATTAAAAAATAGGAATAGAGGGGTCAGTTCCTGAAATTAAAAATTAATATGGTTTGCTGATATCATCACTATTTTTATTGTAGCACAAAGGGGCCCTAAATTGTAGATCAGAGTCTTCTGTGCTAGATTCCCTTACTCAGAATAAACGTACTGACATTAATTTCCTTGGTATAGTGAAGAAAACAAAAGTAATATTAATCTTTAAATAAAATACAAGGGACTGCATACAGTATAAACAGTCAATTCCTTTTGAAATAATTAAATCACAAAGTGAAATTTTTGGTAAATGCAGAAGAGATTTGTTGGATGTGATTATTCTAATGGCATAACAAGGCAAGTGAAGAATATTAATACATCTAAGGAATAAAAAGGAAGATATTTCTTGATTTTTTTTCAAACTTCTGGTTATGATATTCTTTCTCAGTCAGAAATTACATAATAGAGTTGGATCAAAAATGCCTTGTGTGGAAAAGAAGTCATGCGATTTAACAGAGTTGACTTTAAAAAAAATGTGTGTGTAATTAGATGCATAATTCCTATGCATAATTTACATGCAATTATGTATGAAAATGAGATATGCACAGGCATAAATGGCTAGCTAAGCACTCACACACAATCACAGTAATTTTGCACAGAAATTAAGCATGTGGTTGCAAATACATTTGGAAAATGAAGTCCACGAGGAGTCCAACAGTCTTTGTGAGGAGGAGAAATCTGAATTTTTTCTGAGCAGAAATTGTGTTAAATCCTCAGTCAGAAGGGGGACGTAGCTTACATTAAGGGCTTGGGGGTGGTCTCGGTGGTTTCTGTCAGTGTTTTGGACAGGGATAACTGCTTGCTCCATTAGGCTAGACCTTCTCTTCAGGAGGAAAAGCTAGCTGGTCCATTCTCTATGCACTAAGTAAGTAATCCGTTATCTTTCTTGCCATGGCTGGGAGGGTTGGTTGGTGATAGAACTATTATGCTTAATGTGATGCCAACAAAGAGGTGGTTCTTGTGCCAGAAAGCCTACAGTCCTAAAAATAAAATAAAAACCCATGGAGTTTTGGATCAATTTTTACCGATGATTGTTCTCACAATGCTCTGCCACTGTCTGAGCTTTCCTATTGCATCCCAGACAACTAAACAAATAACATATTCAATTCAGTGAAATTCAGATGCATCTCCAAAGTAACTGTTTAAAAATATCTGCACTGTGAAACTTTTGGTAATTATTTTATTGTCAACTTTTAATTTCTTTTTGTAGTGAAACCAATGAAGAAAGCATTTGTCTCAAACTCTCAGCATTCGTTGAGTCGAGTGATCTTTAGTGAACTTTCAAGAAAATCTCTTAGCTTGTTACAATGTATACTTAAAATTAATAATTTCAATTAAATATTTGTCTTTTAATATTTGTCTTTTCAATGGCACTTGAGAAAAATAATTTAGCTGTTCCTGTACATAGTAATTTGAATTCAGGTGTAATCAGAATTTTACTCTTTCACTACAGAGCATGGTTAAGATCATTAGGGTACCTGAACCATATATACCCTGGCTAAGGTAAATGGCTAACCCTATTAGATTAGGCACTCTCACAATCATAACCATGTGCTTATTAGTCATAACATTTGAATTATTTTAACTTTAATTTGAGCTCCGCAATTTCTACACCTATCTCATCTGGTTTTTCTTGTTTGCTTGTTTGTAATTCAAATGGCTTCCAATTTTCAAAAAAACATGGTGATACTGCAAATGGATCTTTTTTCTTTTTTTTTTTTTTTTTTTATTCCTTTGTCATTATCTTTTTTCCTTTTCCCTGATCTTTTCTTTCCATTAGGGTACTTGATGTATTTTGAATCTTTACACAACATGGAGGAAAAAAACTGTGTATTTATATAATTTATTCCTTTTTCACATCAAATAGTGTAATTTTTTTTCAGCTAATCCGATGTAGTCCTGTAGTGGGTGCACTGACAAAGTGCTCAGTCTCAGTAGGATGTGTTCTGCAGGCAGGGAGAGGCAAGTGCTCATTTACATTAGGCAAAGACAGTGATGATAAAAGCTTCTTCCTCTGGCTTTTATTTCTTTGTAATAAGAATCTACACAATGTGTATCTCTGCCCAAGATGGAAGGGTATGAGGATCTTCATGATGAGATCTTAATGTTGTGGTATTTCAGCACCTTAAAAGCTTAAGCATATTGATTCTTTCAGCTCCATTCTGATGTCGGGTACTGCTGTTTCTTTAGCAGCTGGAGCTCTGTGGCCCAGGGTGACAGTGCTATGGAGGCCTTCTCTGGAGGGCTAAGGAGTAGCAGTGTGTTTATCTATGGATTCTCCATTCTTCCCTCATAACCTCTTCTGTATGTATCTCTGTCACCAGGACACAGCATTGCTCTCAGGTGTTTATGCCCCTTAAAATCTTATTCTCAAAGGTACTGGTTACCTTCAGCTCTTACTACCCGCTTTCATCACTTCTAACATGAATTCTTTTTGCTTTGTAATTGTGCTCTTGATTAAACTAAACCATCACTAAACTGTGCTTCAAAATGAATCTGGGCAGAAGTAGAAGGCAGGATTCAAATAAATATGTATGAACTTCTAAATCAGTGGTTCTCAACCTTTTTGAAGTTGAGTGGCACTTGAGAAAATTGGCTGTGCTCTGTACCTCGCTGAGGTCAACTCTGAACACACCAGAAGCTGTCACCTTGCTCTTTTTTTAAGTACTTGTGTACTTGCTGGCTTCATGGAAATTACAGTGAATCTGCTTCTAATGTGATTGGCTACATCATTCAGTTCCATGTGTCATCCTGAAATCAGTCTGTTAGGGACTATATGTTTATTAGGATTTCCTATGGGAGAAATCATGTGTTATTAGGTGTAGTATAGGAAGAGTAAGTCCCGTACTTACTGCAGAAATATTGGATATATTACACCTGTGAGATGCAGCCATGCATCTCATGTAGTGTATCTATCTGTCCTGTAAATCCTGGAATTTTGATGTATCCAATGTACAGGAAAAGCTTTGATTTTTTTTTTCCTTCTTTTTTTTTTTTATTTTTGTCCCTGGATAAGGTATTTGTGTGTATACTGTATAATGATATAATCTGGGGGGGAAAAAGCTTATGGATATGCCTTAATGTGCATGTATGGTAAGTCTCTCCCCACATTTTGCCAGCAGGTACATCATGACATCATGTCATGTTACATGTGCTATGCATGTGTTGCTTTCTGGTAAACCTGTGATACATGTGGTGTATAGCTGATCCTTAACATGTGCAATTGACATGTCCAGGATTTCTTCATATACAGCAGCCTGGATAAAGCTACAGCACTCCTGAAGCTGGAAGTCTGGATAAAATTTTTATGGGGAAGAGAAGACAATTATTAACCAAAGAAGTTCAGTGGCCTTACCTAAGTAAAATAAAAAAAATCACCAACCAAGCCAAACCAAATGTTTTCAGCTCTTCTTTATCTGGTCACCCAGGTAAAGGGCTAATGGAAGACAGTCTGAGGAGTGTAGTGCAGGACATCTGAAAACATGGGATTCACTTCTGAACAGAGACTGAAGTGCTTGTATTAAACTGCTGCCTGGCTGCCAGACTTCCTTATACCCATGCTCCAGTGCTACAGCTGCCATTGCCTTGTTGCTGAGGCAAAGATCAGACTAACAAACCCCGTTAGCCTCTGCTGATTCGTTGCAGGTAGCCTCAGAAGTAAAAAAATCTGGTCTGGAGATACTTGTGCTGAGTTCACAGTGAGATCGACATTGTGTTGCTCATGAAATGGGATTATATGGCATGCATTAGCACGTATTCTGCTTTCTATCCTGCTTGCGTAAGAGCGTGACTGTGGCTTTCCTGAGGTTTTTTGTTTTTATCAATGCCTTGCCAGTCTTTGATAGCTTAACTCTTTCTTGTATATGTAATACTTGTAAGCTTGTGTTTATTTTTGCAACTGTGAAAGTTACCAAAAGCCAGTTAGATTTTGGTAAAACACTGTTACAGTAAAAGTAAGATTTTTTACATCCAGATTTCTCTTATTAAGGTGTTGACAGAAATTTAGCAAAACTTATAAAAAATGTACACTCTTCTCTTGTTCAAGTGCTTAGCTATGCTTGTATAGAGGTGGCAGAGTTTATTATGGTTTTGATATATACAATATATAAAAGAAGGTATAAAAAGCAGTTGCAAAGAAAATTCAAATTGGTATCTGTGCATTTCCATTGCTAACAATAATGCCAACCTTTGTTTAACAAACAGATGAGCCTAATGTATAACTGCTACATGCAGATATTAAATTTGACATATGCCTCAAATCATTTGATCAAATTTTATGTGCGAGCTTAGCACAAAGACAATTCAGTTTTTACAGTGTGCTGGTTTCTAATGACATTGGGAAAAGCACCCCTGAAGTGAATGTAAGATGGTATAGGCAAAGAAGTAAATTTTGGCAAGAAGGTGAACAAAAATCTCAAGTTATGGAATATTTTATGGCATTCAAAGAATGTAAACTGCATTGGTTTCAGTAGTTTCTTTTGCCTATGGCAAAGAAACCAAAGAATACATAATGAGGTGGTAACCCAGAAATATATACCTGAAGTTGACTTTGTTATTTTTCCTTTAAGAGGCACTATCCCAGTGAGTACCAGCAGCAGAACAGCAGCATTGAGATGAAGGGCTCATAGGCCAGCTCCTTCTGCTGTGACTGAGCTGTAGGCCCACATGATTATTAGTTCTGCAACACATCAGATTTAAGTAATTTGCAAATGTGTCCTCTAATAGCGTAGCTGCCTGCACTGTCTGCTGTCTCCTGCCTGAAGTTACTATTTCCTTAGTAGTGCTTCATAAACTGTTTTTTTTTTTCCTTGGCTGCTCTCTAACCTAAATCTGTGAAATGATCCTTAAAAAAAACGCATCAATCTTCCCCAATTTTATTTGCAAGCAGCTTGTTGCACATCTAGCTTAGAACTTGGCCACACCAGCATTTTTCCCAGCACTTTTGAGGGGCAGCACCCTTCAGCTACGGCTGCAGTATCAACTGGGAGCAGAGGGAATATTTAAACTGGATCTGCTTCTGACAGACATCTTAATGCGGAGCCATAGTCATAGCCAGGCATGAACTCTGTGCTGATGTGTCCATTGTACTCCTGCTGTCTAAATCAGCTTGTATAAAGCCAGCTCAATATCTTCTATGTTGCACTGAACTCCATTATGTGCACCTACTCTTTAAGAATGGCAGAAACTTGGTGTACTTATTCATGCCACCTAGATATCTGATCACAGAAATTTATAGAGACAGCACAAAGAACAATGGCATGAAATTCCCTGCACTGTAATCCTTATTAGAAGTTGTGCTAGAATGGTTATGGGGAGAGGTGGTAAGTCTGCAGAGGCATTTGCCTGCAACTAGAGATACAGAAATTTTGCACCTTTGAAAAGATGCAAGATTTACTTCACTTGTTCAGAACCTCAGAAAGAATCCATGTGCTAATAAGTCAAAGAATCCAGAAGTTTGTGACTTTGTCTGCTTAGATTGTGCCTCTTGAACTTCACACCATGAGTCATATATAAATTACACGCATTACATACACACACATGCATATATATAAAAATACTGAAATGTAATACTAATTTAGTTGAGACATATAGAACACTAAGAAGAAAAAAATGGTCCTAAAATAACAAAGATTTTTTCTTCTCCTTCATTTTGCTAGTGCTGTTGCTGAGGCTGAAGGAATTGAGCCATTATTAAATACCTTGTATGCTCAGCGAGATGGAGCCATTGCTAATGCTGCTACAGTTCTAACAAATCTGGCCATGCAAGAGCCATTACGTGTAAATATCCAGAGCCACGGTATTATGAGTGTGCTTGCAGAACCGCTGCGCTCGACCAACAACCAAGTGCAAAGCAAAGCAGCATTTGCTGTGACTGTGTTTGGTTGTGATGCTGATGCAAGGACTGAGGTAAAGCTGCTCTTCTGGGCTGTGGTTATTTTATGACATTTCTAGATCCTGAGGTTGCTGTTATTCTTACCTAGAATCTTTGTATTTTGTGTCTGTCCTAAAAGTCCCAGGCTTTCTAGATAGTAGCTAATTTTTCACTTTTATCATAGCTTCGTTCAGCTGAATTTAGCTCAGTTTGTCATGAGAACTTGGAAAGGGTTTTCTTTAATTTCTATGTTTACTGTTGCATTTGCTTGCACCATATTAATGTTTTACAGCTTTTCACTGGCTTTGATGAGCTTGCACAAGGGCTATATCTTAATTCTCATGTTTATGAGCATTAAACATTATGGCTTTTCAGCTGCAACTGTCATCTGAACTTTGAAGATGAGAAGCTCTGCCCTCTTTACTCTCCCTCAGCATTGTTCTATTGCCCATTTTCAAGGCCGGAACGGCAGTGCCTGACCTTGTTTGATAAGATACTGCATGTACATGGAGTAAATGTAATTCAGGCAAAACTCAAAATATAATTAATCACTTGATCAGTGGCATCCAGCAAGTTGAACTTCTCACTGTTTATCAATGGTCACGCTATTTTCTTTTCATAAATAAGGATGATCCTATGTGCATTCATAGATCTTAAGCTGGGGTTTTCTCATGGGTCAAGACTTTTAATTAGGACATGAATAAGGGGCATAGATAATTAATCTACCTCTTTCAGTGTCCTTAAAATGTCTTTCTCTTCAAAAATCCAAATGAGCAATATTTCCTCCAGCATGTATAGGAAAGATACTGTAGTACACAAGAGAATAGGACGTTAATAAGATTGTCATACATACAATACAATACAAATTCAAATAAATTGTTACGTAAGTAAGTTGCTAGGAGGCAACAGAACACAGAAAAAGCTGTGTAATTCTCTGTGGCAGTCTGGAGTTGCACAGTCTCTTCAGTTTCCATACCACAATCTAATAACTGAAAATCAAGGCAGAGCCAGAACGGATGTGTGCCTTGTTCTGCTCCTGAATCTTGCTTCAGCTCTAGCCTATGCCAAGTTCACAGAAGCACAGAATCCCCATAAATGATCTTTCTAGCAGCCCAGCATAGCTTGTCTACATGGCTCGAATGTTTCGGAAGGTGAATTTCACAGGCAGTTCTTGCTGAGATAAATGAAATATGTAAGAGGCAACATCATCTCTTTTTTTTTTTTTTTTGCAGTTAAGAAAAGCAGGTGGACTGGGACCACTCGTTGAACTGCTGCATTCTAAAAATGAAGAAGTCAGAAGAAATGCCTGTTGGGCTGTTATGATCTGTGCAAGTGATGAACTAACTGCTGTTGAACTATGCAGGCTAGGGTGAGTAGAAATAGTATCGAGGGGCAGAGGGAAGATTTTGATGCAGTAATTCTATTAAGTTGATCTTTACACGTTTATAGCAGAATAACAAAGTTAAGCTATATGTTTTGGTAAGCAGAAGCTACTTAACGCACTACTGATGTTATAGATTACATAGTATTGATTTTAAGTAACAGAAGGCTTAAGAAAAAACGTAAACCTGAAAAGAGACTTTGTCTGGAGTTATAAAAATGTTTATTGTTTTTGTGACTGAGTTGGGCTTTACATTGAAGGTGTGCTTGCATCACTCAAAATTAGGGACTGCAGTGCCTCATACATATGAAACTGAAATTAAAGTTTTGGGCTAAGTTCAGTATACAGTAAATTTTATTTAATATGCACAGGCTAAATTTGATTTAAAGCTCTGGTTAACTGCAGGTGTGCTAAAGTATCACATAAAAAAGCCTCTGTTTTATTCCTTCTTAGAAAGTCCAGGTTCCATATATTAATATCTGAATTACAAAAGCTGGTTTAAGTTATCAGAGTAGGACTCTAATTTATGTCCTTCTAGTCTGACAGCATATTATTGATAATAATACATTAAGCATAGTTTTTCAACCCATCAGGCACTACTTCATGTTATTTTCATGTAGATCATATTTCCCTGACTTGCTTATGAGTATCAAAGTAGGAATGTGCAAAAAGACTTATTAAAGTCAAAACATATCTCTAAGTCAACTCATCTCTCATGTCTTCTACTTCTGTCTGTATGTTAAGTCAGTTACCGTATCACAGAAAGGATTAGATTGGCTTTACATGATTTATTCTTGACAAACGCAAAATAGCTATTTCTTATCTCTTGTTGCTTGCAAAGTGATTGTTTAATAATTTGATATGGTGCTCCTTGGACACTGAAATTTGGCTGAATTATCTCCATTGTAACTTCCTTGTTCTTCATTTTTCAAATGTAGATACAATCTTTGCCCTTCTCCACTCCCCTGGCACCTAGCCTGTCCTCACTAAATTTTCCAATACAATTACAAACAGTTCAGAAGTTGCTTTTGCCAATTCATAGAGCAGTGTGAGGTAGATATCCTCAGGGGCTGCTAACTTTGCCACCTCAAACTTTTTCTAGACATACTAAGCCTACTGTTTCTACCTTCTTTGTTAATATTACTACCAGGCATCTGCTTGCAACCTTCTTTTATGAAAACTGAAGCAAAAAAGGCATCAGACACTCCAGTCTTTTCTGTGCCATCTGTTACGAGTTTTCTTCCCACATTGAGTAATAGGTCTACGTTTTCCTCTCTGACTTGCAGCATATGAAATGTTTATTTTTGTTTCAGTCCCTGACTAGTTGTGTCTCACTTTGCCTGTGGGTCTTTTGGGTTTATCCCTAACTTTTTCTTTTCAAAAGTGTCAGTGTTTCCGTTTCTGTATAAGTCTTTCTTTTTTGTTTTCAGGTCTTCACAGAATTTTTGGTGCAGCTTTATTTGGCCATTTATGTCTTTCCTCCATATGAGGGTAATGTGCCATTGTTCCTGTAATGTCATCTGTTTTAGACACTGCTGTACACACTAGCTTTTCCATATTCATTTTTCCCCTTTAAAATTCTCTGCATCACTTGCTGGTTACCTGACTTTGTTGCAGTATGCTGTATGACAAATAGCCTGTACTGCTCTTCCACTATTTTCTCCCGTTGTTCTCTTCTAAAAGAGAGGGTTGTTATTTGCCTTGCCTGAAAAATTTATTCTCTGAAATTCATCTGCCATACCTTCAGAAGTCTACGTGGCAAATGTCCACAGCTGAGGCTCCCTGTGTAGTTCACAGAGCAATCTAAACGTGGAGTTCATTATATTTATATATACATATATATATATTAAATTGACTCCTCAGGATGTGAAGAATTTCTGCGTGTGTGTATATACACACAGAGATATCAACTGAATACATACACACATATATAAATATATTTCCCTATTTCTTCCTGTTTTTTTTCATTCCTAAACAGTTTCAAAACTGCAGTGTGCTATGTTCTCCTCACTGAGCTTCCTTTATCTTCTTAATGAGCTTTGTCTCAGCTTTTCAGGTCAGAAGTTATCAGTATGTGGGTTTCAGCACCCAAAACAGCTGAATAAATGAATTCCTGTACTCTGGTGTCCTCACATAACTATTTGTTTCTACCTTCATCCTGCAAAAATCCTGCCATCCTGACGGTACTGACACAACTGCTTGTTTCCATGCTCAACCGCGTTTATCAAATCTCTGCCAACTGTGCCTCCCCGAACACAGTAATAGTCCTAAACCAGAAGGATTCACACATTGAGTATTGCACAGCTGGAATCTGCAAACTGCATTGCAACATTGCAAGTTGGAGGGAGAGACATTCCCTGATTTGTATCTTATCATCAGCTCTGAACATTATTCCTTCTACTGTACTTTTACATCCTTCTTTTTCTCAGGTTCTCTGTGGTGCTTAACATCCTTCTGGTATAAGGCTGTGGCATCCTGTCCATGTTTCTTTATGTAAGTTTAACTGCCTAAATTTTTCTTCCCTAAAGAAAGAATTCTGTGCAGCACAGCCACCTCCTTGCTGGGTGGCACAAGGCTACCACTTGGAAATGAATCTGTCTTGGCGTTGGTAATGCTGAAAACAAACTCTGGACTGTATAATAACAATTAATTGGTATTTAATGATGAATCAGCCTTTGTATTTTGTTTAACAGTGCTTTAGATATCCTTGAAGAAATTAATCTATCAATAAGCCGCAAAAATAACTTTAGTAAAGCTGCTCTGGAAAAGCTACTTGATAACAACCTTTCCCAAAAGTACAGCCAGATGGGATATTTATCATCAAATAATATCATTACTGATGGATTCTATGATTGTGGTCAGGTAAGCTACTTTAAATAAATTACCCTTCTTAGAAAGGATGAAATTTTCTTATTGATTTGGAAAAAGTAAGAGTACTACAGCAAAAGCCAAAATCTAGCTATGTAAAATACCTTCTTTTCTTGTCCTGAAGCTTCCCAGCTTTTATACAAATTTCTTTTGATTATCTTTCTTCATGGATGAAATCTTATCATCTTCATGTTACGCCCCAGTTGTGATCTTCTTCCCAACCCTATGTAAGCTGTGCAGACATAGTTCCTTTCCAGATCCTTTCTCAGACTTCAGTTCTTCTGGTCCCTTTCCCTAATATCTCTTTTCTAAATACTGACCTTACACTGAATGACCTATGGACTTTTTGTTTATTTTTACATAAAGAAGTAAAGAGTTCATATTTTCACCTTGGTCATGACCCTTTCTCTCACAAAGCAGTGTTTATATATAAAGAATGACTCCAGTATCACTTGTTAGTGCTGTGTTCAGTTTAAATCCAAGGACTTTTCAAAATGCCCAAATTAATTAGAAATACCAGTCTGACTGAAAATCAGTGAAATAACTGCTCCTAAAGCACTTGGTTGCATTTGAAAAATCTGTCCTATATTGTAAAGCTTTCAGAGGCAGGAACTTTTCAACATCCTAGAACTATTTGAAAAGTAGCAATAGTAACAATAACTACAAGTTAAATTATTTACAGGCAATCTTTTCTAAGAAAATTGACTAAGAAAATGCAAATGAAGAACAAAACAATTTTACTTATTTTGAATGACTTTATAAAGTCTCATGTAAGCCTTCTGTTCAAGATTATGAATTTTAAATTACTCTATAAAGATCTTCTAAATACATTATTTTCTCTTCATCTTTAACTGAACACCTTTTCTTCTATGTTAATTTTCTTGTAGATAAAACGTGGAATGAAATTTTCATCTCTGGAGGAATTGAGTATGCAAGCTCTTACTGACCGTCGGGCCATAATCTTCATTAATGCTAAACCACAAGAAGAGCAAGCCAGGTTTGATCTACGAAGTTATTGTGGTAGCTCATCTTTTCTGTCATTTCCATTGATTCCAGTACAAACTACATAGTCTATATATGTATACACATATATAAAATAGATTATCCCTAGTATCCCTAATATTTAATCCCTAGCTTCATGTCCTAGAAGGCAAGATATTTCTATTTTGGAAAATAGGAATTTAGAAAATAACATTTTTTTCCCTCTAGACAGGAAAGATTTATTCAGTTGAGCTGCTTTTTTTCACTTAGCCATTAAGACTTATTCATTTAACACCCTTTGATTCCTGATGCTGGCATACCCAGTGTTGTATTAGCTATTACAAAGCTTGTCATCTGCCATTATAATTATGTCATCTAAGCTGAATGTCAATATGCAGCAATGGAACCTATGATTTGATGATCTTCTTGTACAGACAAATGCATGGAATTTTAAGCACAACATCCCAAGTGGCAGGACAAAGCCAGGCATCGTGCTTTCATACTTGATATAGAACCCATGCCTGTTCCTTCTCTGTTTAAGTTGAAGCCAGCCTAACAAATCTTCCTAGATTCAAATGCAGGAAGTTGGTATTTGGCTTGTTTAACTGGGAGTCACTTCCTGTAAACAGTCTCACAGATCAAAGAATGCTCTACCAATATTTTGCAAGTCCAAAACCTTCTTCTCTGTCAACACATCACATATTTGGTTAACAGTATCATTAGCTTCCTTTTAAGCTTGTATATGACACCATAAAGATGTCTGAGAATATCTATAACAAACTTTCATGCTCTTTGTTGATCCCTAGAGTTGTCTTTAACTATCAGGTTTTCTTTCTTTGACTTTGATACAGCTTCTTGCCTTTGGCAGCGGTCTTACCTTCCAGTTACTTTTGTGTCCATCGTTTGGTATTTGGTATTTCATTTTTGATTCCTGAATCAGTATCTGGTTTCTTACTGGTTATGTTATTTCTTCCACTTATATTTTCCTATGAATATATTTAGTGGCCTTTAAAATCAGAACTTCATTTTCACAGTTTAATATGCAAACACTAATTGACATGCAAAAATATCTTGTTCCATTTCAGTCCTCCAGGAGAGGAGAAGGCACACGATTCATCTCATGAACAAACTATCTTATCACCTTCTATTTCAAGAAAAAGCAGTAGAGAGAAAACAAGGTATGGTTTTAAAATTTACTATTTTTCAATATTCTGTTATTGCTCTAACATTAGAAATAAAATTCTGATTGAAAATAGTGATAGACAGTTTTCAAATGGAGTACAAAATGCTCAAATACAATGTTATATATGTTTTTGGAGTCTTTCTTTTACCTCCTAATTGCTGTAGTCTTCCTTTTCTATCTTAGTAATGATTTGTCCTCCATCCCCATGCTTTCTTAGAACATCTCCTGTTTATTTGGCTGGTTTTCCTTTCAATATCCCTTAGAGGCAGTGAAATTATGTTATTTTACAGCTTAACAACCAAGACACAGGGAAACTAGGGTAGAAGTTCCTTCTCAATTTAGAACCTAGACACACAAAAAGTTCCTACACTGCATGCATGCATCTTTGTTTCTAGATTAGATTTCTTCCAGTGAAATTTTATACATGACTAAAAGCTGAGAAGGGTGTTCTCAAAACTGTCTCCGTTTTGACAGCAACAAGCCTAAAACTGCCTCGCTTTTGCAGGGCTCCCACTGACCCATACAATACACTAGGTACAATCCTGCACTCCTCTCTGTAGAACTGATGTGGTAGGCATGTCTGCTCATAACAAATAGGTCAGAGCCTCTAGCCTTGTGGTAGGAAATTAATTTCTTTCCTTTACAGAAAGAGAGTTTGATCCTGTCCTTCCCACCTGGAGGTAGATGACCACAAGATATTTGGGGTTTAGCAGTCTCTTTCTGGTTTGTTGTAGCTATTCACTAACAATGAGGTGGAATGAACAGAGCTGTCTACTTCAGCTGTTAGGGTACTTAACTGAGAGAGTAGAGACCAATGACTGGTCATTGTCTTGATGACTTTTAATATAAGGTACTTAACCCTTAGTTTGTTCCCGCTAAAGAAAATTGAACCATGATCCCCCAGCTGTGCTTTATATAAAACAGCAGCACAATCATGACCACAACAGTGTCCTTCAGAAAAGGCAGGTGTAAATGCCTAATCCTAAAGAAATTTTCAGGATTTCCAAACTGGTCCACATAGAGCTTCCTTGACATTGATGGGGTGATATCTAGTCCTTGATAGGAATGTGATATAACCTACAACTCTCCTTGGTTTTTCTGTTAGCTAACTTAATGAGATGACCATTTATCATGCTAGTTTCTGTGGGTCTCAGTCCTGTCTTCCTAATATTTCTTAGTTTATGGTATAGGGAGCCTTGGCTCTGCTTCAGGGCTGTGAATGTGATGTCAGTGGTGGGCATTACAAAATCCTAAGTGCTACAGCATCATAAAAAAAAGCCCACAGGAGAGATGGCATGCCTGTTGTGGGAACTGAAGTGCTACATTTGCAATGTTTAGCTTGGAGCTCACCCATGAACTGTGATATGTCTGTACAGGCATTTTAGTGATATTGTGGATTTCTCAGACTGCTTCTATATTTCTGTGTATGTATGTATGTATGTATCTGTGCTGGAGACATGAAATCTGCAGTAGGAAAGTAAAGAGAAAATTCAAACCTGCTTTGTGATCTCAATAGTTCAATTGTATCTCCAGTGGAGGAAAAGAGAGAATTATCTGGACAATTGTGTTCAGTCAGCAAAACCAGCATTAGAGAAAAAGGCTTGATGTATTATTCTTTGAATTATATGTCTTATCAGCTTCTTTAGAACTGACATGCAAATTGTTGACAGATAATAGCTACTGACTGTGAAGGGTTGAGGTTCTGACTTAAATCAGGACGTGAATTGTGAGGTAGGTCTATCCACTTGACTTGTGGATCTATCTATTGACTTACAAGGCAGACATTTACATTTGACTAGTTATTTGGACTGCAAGCACTTTTGGAATTCAGTTTAAATAATTTCATAGTAGGTAACTGAAATGGATCATATCAGTTGCATTGTGGAAGGTTCCCATTTCAGGATGCAAAAGAGTTTTCAATATTGCATCTTGAGTGTCTTACCAGGCATGTTCTAGCTTCTGCTCATTTAGCAGGTCCTCCTGAAGCCCAACACACTCTGGTCATGACCCACTATGCAATGTCAGTTTACTCAAAAGGAGCAGAAGGCAATGGGAGATGTTGAGCCCCCTGGTGCCCTGCAGTTGTGGGGGATTCCTTCATCTCAGAAGATGCTCTAGAGTCGTGGACCATTTTGCATAGTCTCAAGCAGCTGCGCAAAGCTTAGAGATCTGTTCTGACAAGATGTTTGTTTATTACAATGTGAGATGAGGACACCCTTGGATAATTGCTTTTTAATCTATTTTATGTCAGTTACACAGTAAATGACTGCTGGGTTAGCAACAATAACTCTTTTGAAAGCAAAAAAAATTCTTTACGAGAAGGATCCCAAATACCTGTCTCGATTTCCCATAGCAAACTTGCAGGGATACAAAGACTTCTTTCTTCAAGTATGAAATAATTGCTTTTGAATGTCATGATCAAGTTGTATGATTTATAACCCCATTGTCATTCATTTTGAATCCATAATTCATACATCATTATTATTATTAATTTGTGAGATATATGGGAGTTACTTGAAGGTCAGTAGCCAACTCCAAGTCTCAAACATACTCAGACCTTTTCCGACATATTTTTTTCCTTTGATCATACATTTCTGTTCATCAATATTTTGCAAAGTACTACTGAACACAGCTTAAAGATGTTGTTTTGAAAAAGTAAATCTACTTTGTATAAACCACACTTGAAAGCTAAAAGAAAGAGCAGTTGTAATTGTCTGCTGGAAGTGTTTGAATTAGATGTAGAGGAAGTGCATAGTAGATAGGTTGACATATATTTTCATGGACAGATAGCAACCTTTTTAATCAAACGGTTGCATATCTGATATACACATTCACTGGGCTAAAATACGATGTTTAATGTAGACTGACAAATTTACATTTATTCTATGCTATGTTCCAGTACATCATTTAAGGAGGTGCTTTCCAGTGTCCATTTACTCCTTTTCTAAAGACAGCCAAAGGATTAAGCTATGTGAAAAAGGAAAGAAAATAGGTGTAATGGCTTTCTTTTAGTGGTAGGATATTTTATTGGCTACCCATTGGACTTTTTTTGCAGCAGAAATCAGAAACATCTTGGACACTGTTAACTGCCATGAGTTCTTCTTTGTATATTCGCCTACATTCATGGCAAGTATGCGTCATGAGTAGTAAGACAGCTTTGGGAAAGGAGAGTGATTTTTTTTTTTTTCAGATGTCATAATTCCCACTGGTAAATAAAATAGGAATAATAAAAGAGGACACAAAAAAGATAGTAGAAGTCTAGTGTAATGGTTACTGGTTATTTTATGGCACTGTGCTATGAGACAGCACCTCCACAGTTCCTTAGGAGGTAAGTATTAGACATGATGAACTGAAGAGTTGAGGAGTAAGGTAGAGACAGGTGTGGAGGACAACTTTAAAGCAGCCATTCCACCAAGGAACCATAGTCATACCTGAGAGAAATAGGCAGCAACAAAAACCCCAAACAAATCACTGCTCAAACCCATCCTTCTCAGGTGTTTTCTTCCTGAAAACTGGAAAGGAGAGTAAGAGTGATTCAAGAGTCATCTGAGTAGATAGGAATAGGAAACAGTTTTCTTTAAATAAATTATTCTTAAACATTATGTCTAAGTGCATAAATGGAGAAGTAGGTAGCTGTTTAATCTACCATTATAAGGTTCCCTGGCTATAGTTAGATAGAGTCAAATTAGACAAAGAAAACTGTTTGTCTGCTTTTTTCAAGTATAGGTGCAATTAATAACCAGAACGGTTTACTTAAAAGGGTGGTGAATTTTCTATAATTCTAAGATTAAATCTTAATTGGTTATCCTGCTAAAATAATGTGCTTTAGGAAACCTATGAAAAGGCCATTTTGTGAATATAGTAAATCTCAGTAGGTAAAAGAAAAGTTTGCAAAGTATTCTGAAGACAAATGGCTTGAATTAGACACCTGATAATGGTGTGTGCCCTTCTGCTTTGTCCATTGCCTTCCTTCTTAAGAGAGCTGTCCATTGTCAAAATTTCAAGAATTAATTTGAAGAGCACAAGATAATGATAGTGTGCCCTGGAGCCATATACTCCAGTGATCCATCCTTTCTTTTTTTCCCCCCTTTTTCCTTCCAAGAATGCCAGCGGTATTATGGATTTCAACAAATTAGCCAGAATTGTTAAACAAAGGAAAGAAATTCTGTCATGTTTCACAGTAGAATTATTCAACACCTATGCTGAAAAAAGATATAATGCTTATGAAACGCAAGTTCCACATGTTCCCACAAATGAAATATCCTAAACTGATTGTATAGATCTTAATGATATCTCTGTTAGGATCTTGGTTTTGTAGTTGCTACGTAACTTGTGAAATGCACAGTCAGTATTCAATCTAAGCAGAACAAGCATTTCATTTTTACTTCTGCTAGGTGCTTATGATGCCTGTTCAGGATCACAGTCATTTTTCCAGTCCTGAGCATTAGCGATATATGTAGCATGTACAGTGAAAAAAGAGACAGCAAAACCACAGACTTCTTATAAAATCTTCATCTGACCAGCAGTGTTGTAGTTTGTATAATGCTTGAAGTACGTGGACTTACAACTACAGACACTGCTGCCTGGTATGTCCTGTCAAAAATTTTGGCCATGCCTTTGATACCACTCGTTCCTTTATTTGAAATCCAATTTCTATCAAGTAAAGCCTCATTGGAGTGCATGATTTTTAGTTCGTGTCCATATGGAACCAAACTGTAACTGTCTAAAAGTGTTTCTTATATGGATGTATGTCTCTTCTCCTCTAGATATATGTGAAAGGCATATCAGAGCTATAGACAAAAATAAAATGAGAATTTACAGCAATATTAATATGACGCTAGTGACACTTGGTTCATAAATATCTCCTGAGGGCATGTTCCACAAGTGTTCTCTACAACTTTGTAGCTTTTTGAGTATTCATTATCAAGAGAAAAGATTTTTCCTAACTCCCCCTGCAATCTATTTGTCTAAAATGTTCTGTTGGAGAACTGCTGTTATTTGAATTTGGACTTTCGCGATTACAGCATTCTAAATAACTGTACATTGTTTCCTATGTAAGAAAAGGGAAGGGGAAAAAAGAAGAGGAAAAATCAAAAGAAGTTATTCAGATTCTGTCTGCAGTCCAGGATGAAATAAATCTACAAAATACACAGTGGCTACCACCACCTGACCTCATTTTACTTGATTACATTAATGATGCTTCCAAAACAATTTTACCACTAACTACTACAAGGGAACAGGTTGTGGCTCTTGCACAGTGAGTATCAAATCACATTTCCATAAATAATAGAAATAAGTTCAATTGGTAAAATAACTGTTCTCTCATCTGAGGACAACTTTTCCAAGTTTGTTATTTTTCCCATCCTAACTGGAATCCAAATCAGGTCTGGTCTAGAATTCTAACATAATTTTAGATTTTAAGCTTCTTGTTCCTAATTTTGTTGTAAATAGTTGGATTGGGTTTGTGTGGAAGATAAAATCACTTGCCACAAAAGGGTATAAATTTCCCATTTTGAAAATATTCATATGAAAATTTCCTTTTCCTTCCCCCCCATTAATGTATCTGTATTGATCCTTTCTAATGAACACCTCAGCTGCATATGGTATCATTAAGGAGCCAGAGAGACCTAGGAGCTGCAGTGACTAAATCCACAACCTAAACTCCTAACTTAATAGTTGAGACTGTTGTAACTTGCACGTATCATGTCTATTCCTTCTTTTATGATCTTTTTTTGCCTGCTTGGTTTGAAAACCCCTCAGGACAGGATCTGTCTCATATTTTGTTTTCCTATAGAGCCAAAAGCATGAGACATTTTTCTAATGTAGTTTTTAGGTACTACTGTAATTAATATCCTGATGATTTAATAGTGCCAGAATATTGCAATGGTGCATGTACAGACTGTTGTTATCAATGCGTGATTCATTAGTTACACTGACTACTCGGCCTTAGCACCAATCACTGTCATCTCCAAGCAGTGTCTGCTTTCACCTTCTCCTTAGTTTAACCTTTGCTATCTTAGCAGTTTCCTGGCCACCTCCTGAATCTGTAGAGTTTGGCATCAGATCCCACTGAGTCTCACAAAATCTGTTTCTTCTACTAACTCTCATTTTTAATGAAGTGGTCTAATGTGATAGGAAGAATGACTTTTCTGTTGGTTGCAAAATGTGACAGTACAGATACTCATCCTTTGCTATCCAGCTGTGTATAAATCATGCTGCCATCCTCAAGGTGGAATCCATAAAATGCTCTTTCAAATCTGCTCTTCAAACACACCAATGAAATTCTTGCAGACACACAACCCAGGAAAACAATCATGGGAAATTTAAGTAGAATGTTTTCTGTGGGGATTTTTATGTGCATGTTCCATCTTAAGCGGCTGCCTGAATAGCGTGTGTTGAATAGGAAGAGGAGGAAGAGGCAGCTGCAGCAGCCCTCGGCAGCCTGGCAGCTTGAGCGGGGTTCCTGCTGTGCTCACCAGGGAGGGAGCCGGGGTAGATGAAGGAACATGCAGTAGTGCTGGCTGTCTCCTTTTAAACAGACAGAGCACATCTTTGTGCACACGTGGGAGCAGCGTGCCTGCAGGATCAAGAAGCTTTGCTCTCTTTACTGAGGGCTGGCTGTAGGCACAAGCAGCACGAGCGACCACCTGGAGCCCCCACTTCTTCACGTTCACCCAGTAATTCCCAACTTCAAGATACCATGTCTAGCCAGCTTGGTGATAATTCCCTGTGCCCATGCTGTTGCAACCAGTATCACCTCAGGCCCTAGGGTTTGAGAAATAAGGCCTCCAGGGTTGCCTTGCACATACTATGTGGACAGAACCTACAGAGTTACTGCAAAGGAGGGTAATGCAGATCTTAGTTCACTGTCTGAAGTAGTGGCTTGTGATTTAAACCCACGACAGCTCTGCATCACCTTGCCCAGAGTGAGGGCCCTCAATAACACTTGTAGCTCTGGCTGAGGACTCTGAGAGGAACAAAGGTCTTTACATATAGGAACCATGCATAGAAAGGTGAAGGTGTCTTACAGACTTATAAATGGGGCCTGGTCCTATGTGTGCACAGTCGCCCAAAGACACGCTTTTGGCAGTGTCTGCACAGATTGTGAGTTTTGACCTGTTTCTGTGACTAAGCCAATTCTTTTTCATGGGTAAATACACACCTCTCACCACCCAAATACTGGCTTCAATATTAAGAAAGCACGCATAAAAGCTGAAGTATCTTTTATGGATATAGTTGCTTTCCTATGTTGGGATCATTATCTGTGGCTTAAATTTTACCCTGTATACTCACATGCCTTAATGACTATTTCAAACAAATGGTAGGGCTGCAGATTGTAATATGTAGCTCACATAATCTGTTAGCTGTAAAGGTGAACACTAGCTTCTGAGCTACGTCCTCGGTAATGACACGGTTACTGGTGCTTTTCTCTGAGGACTTTGTGCCTATACCAGAGCCCTCCAGAATCTCTGCTGACAGAAGTTGCACCTTGGTTTAGGTCTGTGACAAATGAGAACAACCTGAGTTATGGTTATTTGTATTTAACAGTTAACATATATAAAATACAAGTTACTGAATTAATACAGCAAGTATAGCAGAAGTATTAAAGTCTTATATGTCATTCACTTATTGCTTGTATACATTTCATTTGCTACATTTCTGTGGTAAATACTAGAGGAATTATAGATGCAACTGATTCTGGTATACACTGGAACAGGTTTGTTGCAGACAAGATGGGTGGCCCGATTGAAAGAGACAAACTTAACTTCAGCTGGGAACTTCACATAAGCGAAATAGAATTTGAACTGAAATGCAACGTTGTGCCTATCGGGAAAGTAAAAAAAGGGACATTCTACCACAGGGCTTTACTTTTCAAGGTACATTAACATTTATTTTACAACATAACATATTGATGTTAAATAGATATTATAAACTAAAGCATACTTGCATCAGTACAATATAATATTTATATTCATGTAAAATCTTTTGTATACACTTAAGTCATTTTTCACTGGCAAAGTTGATTTCCCAGTGAATGAAAGCCAGCATCGCTTCTTTCTGTAAACATTCTTGTTGTCATTAAATTGTCTTAAGTGATATCTGCAGAATACTTGATAAATGGCAAAAAGCCAGAATATTTGATTGGGAGTCAAAACATTTTACATTTTCTGTAAACTGTAAAATACTGAATTATGCAGCTTCCCTTTTTTTTCTATGCTGCAAATATAAACTTGCTGGGACAATTTTTATTTGGTATCTATCCAGTATTCTATAATAGTATATAACAGCTTTTATGTTCTAGTTTCTGAAATTGGAAAGATTAATTTCTTCTGTCCTCATGTGAAGATGTGCTGATGCAGCCTGCATAATTTTTCTATCCTTTTTCCTTGGCTGTTGGGTAGCTGGACTTTTCTTCTTGGATGGAAAAGACAAGAGAAGCAAGAGCCTAGCACATTAAGTGTGAAGGACCCAGGAAACAGTACACAGGAGAAAAAGCTCAGTCCTAAATTTATGGTATCCATGGGGAGAGAAAGTTCCTGACATATTTTATGGAGGTCTGAGGACACGAATTAATTGTGCTGAAGCAGCACTGATGTTCGCTTATCCTGCACTGTCCTAAGAAACCTTTGCAGGGACAGATCATCTCTCTTAAAGCCACAGCAGTCTAAGCATTGGTTAGCCTTGCCCATTCATAACAAGTTAAAAATCTTCCAGGATCTCATTCCCTCACAGGAGATGCATTCTGAGAAAGCAGTTTTTCAGCTGGAAACCATTATAGGTCTGTCAGTGATAGCACAGCACAGAGGAAAGGCAGGTGTTTCATCTAGCAGATGCTTGCCTCGCATTTCATTGCTTCCCATACTTGCAGGGCTGAAAAGCAAGGAGTGTGCTCTGGAGTGAGGCAGCAGTCCTAAACTTACACTGATAGAAATGTTGCATTTTTACACCTAATATTTCATAGTAGCTGTATGTGTGCAATACCTACACCTCATCGCCTGAATAGCCAGTTCTTTAAAATGTTATTCAGAAGTAAGTCTTCCAACTAAAAAAAGAACATTCCTAGGCACTGTGGCTATTGCACTTGTTTATCATCCAGTCCTTTAGATCTCAAATGAAGAGTTAAAGTTAGTATTTTTCATGTTGTGCATACAATATGGTACAAACAACATTTTTAAAGGCCACACTTTCTAAGCAGAACTAACAATAAGGATTCACAGTTTGGAACACTTCAGAGATTTACGAAGTGTGTTTCAAGAAAGCGCTTGGCCTCTCAGGTATTTGTTTTCTTTTTAAGCATCTCTTGGCATTGCTTTGTATCACAGAAGCTACGTGTATTAACTGTGATTAACTCCTTTTTCTTTCCTTTTTAGGCGATAGCAGACAGAATTGGCATTGGCTGTAGTTTAGTTCGTGGCAAGTACAACAGAGCTTGGAATGAAGTTAAATTGGTTGATGACTCTCCTCAAGGAATAACTGGGCTTCTGCTTCCCCCTCGCGAGTATATTGTAGATCTAATGTTTGAGCCAGGCCGTTTGATAAAAGAGGGCAGCGTAGAGGCAGATCAGTACAAACATATTTAATCATTTCGACAAATGTCACCAAAGTAGCTATTTTAAAGATGTTTGCAGTGCTAATATTTATGAAACATGAGGGGTTTCAGGTCCAGCTATCAAAAAGAAGCATAACTGGTATGTTGTCCTAAATGTTGAGTTAAACGTATTTTAGGTATCCAACTTCAATGCTTAGAAATTTTATTAATTTTTCTGGTACTATTTTAAGTCCAAACTAAAAATACAGATTAAAATTTGGTAGCTCAAGAATATTTGGTATGTGCTAACATTATAATGCTTATTCAATAGGTTTAAATTATTCCAAAATACAGCATATTCTTTTTCTCTTATGTTCCTTCAAAGCCCATGCACATTTACAGGAGTTATATGTCCATGAAGCAAGAAAATCTGAGGGCTGGTGAAGTAACAAGTCACCTAAAAACAACTGGACAATTTTTTGTGTGAAATAACCCAAGAACTGAGAATTAGAAGAACTAAGATAACGGCGTACTTTCAGCTTTGTAGAAGACATCCCATTCATATTGCTTGGAACTTGGCAGAGTTAATAATTATAGATAATAGCATACTCTGGATAAATACTGTTTGTCCTGGCACAGGGAAGACAGATGATTGATAAGCTACTGCTTGCAATCTCCATTTGAATTTTTTATCTTTCACTTGAAGATAAAATGGACTCTGAGAAGGCAGCTGTTTTAGACAGGGAGTTTATATTTCTTGCAGCCTTGGGTAATGTGATGTGGCTACAGTGTGGTGGTGCATCTAAGAGGTGAAACACTGGCTACAGCACTCTGGTAAACACTTTCTGGTGAAAGTGGAAGAAAGGTACTGGAGTATTTCAGTGAGTTTACTGTGGGACAGAAAAAGACCTGTACGTAAGTTGGGCCACTGCACATTGTCACGTTGCAAATCTGCATTTCAGAAGACCAGAACACCACCAATAAAGCATTTACTTCCTGCCCACCAAAAACGTGATAAAAAAGTCTGGGGTCTGTGTTCTTTTAGTTTTTAATGTTTGTGCAAGCACAGTCACTTGTATAGTCTGCTCTGGCTTGAAGAGGTTATATCTGTTGTATTCAGTACTGCTTATGAGCATGATCCCACCACTCCCCCTCCTTCCTCCTCTGACATGCAGCATGATTTTCTGGTAGCCCTCTGGGGAATAGTCTATCTTTCTGTTGTAAATTCACTTATATGCCCTCATGTTCATTTTTTACCTTATGTTCAGCAGTGCTCCAGCCATCAGAATGAAAAAAGAACTCTGGAAACAAAATACATGATATGCTAGCAGAAGCAAGTGGAAGGTGAGGATGTGTTTCTTATCAGTGCTATGTAGCAAGTAGAGGCCTGATGAAAAGTCATACACTCTCACTGACAGGCATGATTTGGTATAGAAACCTGCAACTTTGAAAGTGCAGTAAGTGCAAGTAAAATAAGAATTAATTTCCTACTAGCTATCATTTTGTATGGTTTTCCTACATTGGAATTTCATTATTTTGTATTGGAATCATAATGTTAACGGGTGACTTATTCATTTGAGGAGGTCTTGAAAAACAAAGCAATTTTCTGTTGTTTCTAATAAAAACTTTTGTTCTAGACATATAAAATGGCTTTACATAAAATGATAACCTAAGCAAATAAAACAAAAAAATACTACACAACCTTGTATAATGCAAAATTTGATGATCCAAAAATGTTGGATGATGGTTGGTTTATGTCTTTCACAATTTTTAGCTTTGTATTACCTGAATTCCGTCACTTCAAAATTGTAATGCACTTGGGTGTCAAACATAAGAACTAGGTAGAACATAAACACTTACATCCAGAATTGTTACTTTGAAAACTGTAGTTTAGTTGTCAAGCGAGTCAAGAGATGCCACACGTTTTTACTTGATGCTTCCCATGGACCTGTAGCTGGGCCCATGCCCTGCTGAACTCCCCCAGCCTTCATAAGAGCTGCCCAGCTCACACTCATTCCCCACCTGAACCAGAAAACAAAATGTTTCTGCAGGGCTCAGCTGGGTGAATATTCCTGGGACATGCCCAACATACACTGTTTGTTTGGCTTGGGCCACGCCTGAGTGATCGCCTACCATCTTCTAAGGAGCAGATGGGGAAGGGTCTCATATTTCCTTTTACATAATAGTTCAGTGAGCAGATCAGTCACTCAGGGCATAGGAGTCAGGCCTTGATGCCTTCCTAAGCATGAACAAAACAGTCTGCAGCTACCCAATTGCCATGATATATTCTAGCCTCTGACAACTACAGCCCTCTGTTTGAAGCTCTGCTGTCGCGCAGAAAAGAGTCTGGGTCTCCAGTGCCCAAGAATATAAGAAATATTCTTACAGTTTCCTGTGTCTACTGTAAGATGTAGAACCTGTACCCTGCCTAAAATAATACCCTCCTAGTCAGGTGCTCTCCTTCTAGATGAAAAGCTGTCTTAGGCCAAGATAGGAATTGAAAAAAGGTTCATTCTTCCATAGCTGTAACCACTGGGCAGCTACACAAAAGCAGGCATTATGGCCAGCAGCTGTGCAGGATGAAAACTTAATGAGACATGCTCAGCTTCTTGAAAGAGAGGGTATGTAGGTGATTATCTCAGGACAGTGATGTGGACTGTAGCTCCTGATTTGGAAGGGGCACCTCTAAATCATCCTTACTGTGATGTCTGTGCTTCTGAGAGAAGACAGCATGAAAACACTGCTCCTCCTGTTCCCTGGAACTACCCAACTTCATACTCACTGTGCTGAACCTACTCTGCTGCTTACTGCAGGGTCTGTTCCAAGGCACCTGGAACTGACACACCGCACCTGCACACACCCTGCCGTTCATTTTCATAAAAAAGAATCTTAGTTTTGATTTGGCATTGAGAAGCACAATGCTTAATACACAGCAATCTGCATATCAAAGATATACAGAACTGGCTGTGCTGACAAAAGGTCAGGCACGATTTCTAGCTTTCTAATGAAAGTGGACCAGCAAAGCAGCAAACCAAAACTGCTGGTGGTGTCAATGAGATCTCAAGTTGCAGCAGCAGTTTTGCTATGAGAAAGTCTAATGTTTTGATCCTGCACATTTCTCTGCCTTTTTCTGTTTGTGCCAGGACCATTGTGGCTAAGGGTATTCTAGGTGGGTAATTCCAGGCTCTCCAGACCAGTTTTTGGCTGAGACCTGTTTCAGAGGGGTGCTTCTCGTAAACACCTCGCTGCCAAAGTGGCTGCTCCTGTTTTTCCCCAAGCAGATGCAGAGGCAGTAACAGATTTCTGGCAACAGCAATACCAGCGCTTCCATGCTTGCTTTCTCTTGCTCTTGATCCCTGAGCAGTAGGAGCACTGAGGTTAACTTACACTTGTTTTATCTTTAGCTGGGAGCAACTGCTGTGTAATTTATAGAATTAACATATTTCAAACAGTTTCTGATTACCCACCGCTAAACTACAGCAATGGCAGAATGTCACTGCCTCAAACTGTGCATGGTAGAAATTGAAATGAACTCTTCCTCCAGTAAATATCCATTGTTGATTAGCTCTGCATCCTGAGAAGAATCCAAGACTCTTAGAGCAAAACAGGTGTTTCTTTCCAGATCCAAGAAGAACTTTTGTTGTTATTTTGTCATTAAAGATGGCTTTGGAGAAAAGCAAAAAAGTTTTTTATTACTAAATACGGGTTTCGAATGGTGACAAATTATTTCATCCATGGATGAATCTGCACCTCTTCTACTACGTGATAAATCCAGAATCCAGCTCAATGCACAGCATCAAAATGGAGACTGTGCAGAGGCAATACTGACTAGCATGTCAATTTAGTTAAGATAGAAAGTGCATTAATACATTGTTATAGCTCTCTTGCTGGTTCATACAAGAGTCTTCTCCACAACTTATCTGCAGTACCTGTTCCCTTCAGAACAACGAAAATAAGCAAAAACAAAAAATTAATTCAAAGCCTGAAGACAGCATATGCCATAGCAGCAAAGTAGAGGGCAGCACAGGAATAGACACAGAGGCTCAAGCCAAGAGTCTGTCCAACTCCAGCAGTGGTCAGTATAGAAAAGGTTAAGAACACAGCACAAACACATTTATACATTTCAAGAGTAGTGTGATAGGTGACCCACCACCAGCACTGGGATAGTGTGAGGGGCACGCGGGCATTCCTCAAGGCAGCAATGCTGAGTTCAGACCTACCTCCTGCTGCCCAGGCCCACTGCTGTGGGGGCAGGGGAGGCCTTGGGGCTGCTGCACAGGGAAAGCATCAGCACTGCCACTGCTGGTATTCAGCTGCATTGGAGCAAAACAAAGTCGGTTACAAGGTGGTTTCATCTTTCCACCACAGGGAGGAAAGCGCACTGATAAACATGTCTGTCTGTGGGCTGGGGTAGTTAGGGACCACAGGCATTGCTTTGCACAGAAATATCCCCAACCAGTCTCTCCTCAGCATCTTTGCTGATAGTGCAACAATGGCAAACCCTCACCTAGACAAAAAGTGAAAAACTCTCACCTTGGCGAAACCTTGACGAAAGACCTCTTTTTGACCAGTACAATCTATTTCCCTGAACTGCAGAAGCTAAAAAAGAGCCCTTGAATGACATACATTGTCATGTGTGGCACTGGGTATTTGCAGCCCTAAAAGCCAAAGGGATGCCACGCAAACCCTGAGAAGTGGGGCTGGCCATGCAGTGAGCTCTGCGAGGCAGGACTGAGCAGGGGTGGGAATCGGAGGTCTGCTAAAGCGCATAAACTGCTGATCAACACATCCAAACCACAGTGATGCACCATGCAGCATTGAGAACACATAACACAGCACAGACAGACATGTACAGCCACCTCCTGGCACATCCAGAAAGCCAACCTTCTCGCACTGCAGCTCTGCCAAGGTGTCTCCTCCCAGGCAGCTGAACATCTCCCAAAAGGTGAGGGGAGTAACCAAGGGACGCGTTTTTTTGTCTCATGTTTGCTTTGCAATACAGCTGTGTGGATGGGGGGGCATGATTTTTTTCACACTCTTTACCAACAAAGCTATTACAGCAGATAAATTAACAGCTCTTTAGCCCTCTTAATGATCTATTTCTTTTTCTAATATAAAAACACTCTGACACTGAAAGATACTTGAGATATTGGGATAACCTGATCTGGCCTTCCTTGCCCACTATCACACAATTCACAGTTCAGG